TTGTGACATCATTTCCTCTTCTGGGAGCTGCAGAAAGTGCTGCCCTTGTATTTCCAGAACTCACTAGGTTCTTGACTTTTTGAAGTAATTAGAAAATGTATTCGTACATCTCAGCTCTTGTTTGAAGAATACTTCAACTTTTCATTTTTTTCCTCCTGTGCCAACTTCTCTTCCCTTCTTTCTGTCCTTCCGCACCACCCCCAACTACCCGTGGTTGAGAGTCACCGCAGGCCTTACGCATCTTTGGAGTATGCTCCCCTGGCCTTGGCACCTTTGCAGGTGGGCCACACCAGGTAGTCCAGGTCGACAGGAGCATGGCTCGGGGCTCGAGCGCCAAAAGCAAAGGCCCTGCTGTCACATGTGAGAGTTTCGTCTACAGTCTTGTCCAGATGCAGAATCTCAGACTTTGCTCAGACCTACTGAGCTGAAGTCTGCATTTGCACCAGCCCTCATGCAATGTGTGTGCACGTTACAATCCAGGAAGGTAACGGATAGCAATGGAAGGAAGAGGTGTGAGCATTAGCCTCTCACTCTCATGGATGGGTTTTTAGATTCACTTTTTAAGACATTGACTTATGGGTATTTCCATGTCAAACAGTTTAATGGCCCAGCACTCAATTGCTGTGTTCTTCACCATGTTAGATCTTGTTCCAGGCAGCAGAGCTGATGTTTTCTTGTAAACAAACACAAGGCTCTGATTTGTCTGCTTGTTCGCACAGAAGGCATCGCAGTTCCACACCAAGGGGGCAGCAACAGTGTCTATAAACACAGCCTCCTTTTTTTTTTTTTTTTTTTTTCCTTTTAAAGGCTTTGCATTTTCTCAAACCTTAGGAATGACTGTTTGGTTTAGGACCTAGAATTCTTGGCACATAAAGCATAAAGGCTAGTTTTGGGGTTAAATCTTCTTCATAGGGTGGTTCTTCCACTAGTAACTTTGATCACAGAAAAGCGCTTACTCAACTCCTGATTTGTGCAGAGCTCCATGCTGGTGGTCTGGCCAGGCTGGGTTAGTGTAAAAGGTGCCCTGCTTTGCCAACAGCTGGATAGGCTGCCCTGCTGGGTGTGGTTCTTTGGTGTATCCCACCTAAGACAACAGAGAATGTCCTCCATACACATCAATTTTAGATTTACTAGAGTCAAACCTTTTTGAGTTTTGTGATAGCTATCCAACAAATTCAAGTGCTTCTTAAAAGTTCTCACTTATAAGAATAAAATCACATCATAGGACAGCAGTCCTCAACCTTGACTGTATGTTTGATTGCCCTGGAGGCTTGAAGATATATTAGTTCCTGCGTTCTCCAATAGATGCTGACTCAATGGTGAGTGTCGTGCTTCTGTATGCAGATTCTCTCCTAATTTAAGCATCAGCCAGGTTTGAGAACCACCGTGAGAGAGGAAGGCCTCCTCCTCAGTGTTTTCGTATCCAGGGAATCTAATGACTATGCCCTATTATTCAGATATGTAAAAAGAGTGGCTCACTACCAGTGTCACCTTGGAGGAATCAATTCCATTCCATAAATTTCAATTTCCTCTCCTCTAGAATGGTGACACCTATTACGTTAGAAGATAGTACTGGAGTTTAAATAAGCTATAAATGCTGCTAAGAAAACGCCTTCTATAATAAATGCACAACAAAGTATGGCTTGTTTCAAAGAACTGTGGACATGGCATTTTGTATTCTCAGAAATGGAGCCCATATGCTCTGAGTCTGGTGGCAAAGTTGTGTACAGGCTTTGACAAAGGAGTTCCCTCCCAAGCTGACATTACCAGGCCAACAAATGGCACCTGAAGTGAGATCAAAGCACACTCCCAAGAAGTCCTTCATCATTAACTGTGGTAGGAAGAAGCAGAACAGAGCGGTGCTCATCAAAATGGATTAGTCACGCACCATGCCGCCCACTCCTCATGGAAAGGAATCCAGCCCAGAAATCCTCTCAAGAGAAAACCGCCACAAATAATCAGGGGACATTCAAGGGAAAATCGTATGTCACAATTTTGAGAATTAGGCTATTTCCTTCTTTTAAAAATGGTGTTGGTGCTATGACCTATACAGCCTATAAAATTAATGTAGCTATATGATAGGAAATACCCTGAATATTCTGAATTAGTCAGAAATCTCTTGGCTTTTTTTTTTTTCCTACTTCATCTTAGGCTATTAAACAGATATCTTAAAATAAATGTTTTCTCTTTTTTCTTTTAAAAAACCTCTGTTAAACATGAATATATTATAAAAGTATTTCTATTAGGATGAACTGTGAAAGCTCAAAAAACTGATAATCTAAAACTATAAATTTTATTGCAATCAGTCCCTTGTTCTCAGTCAAAATGCTAACTTAACTCTTAAAGAAGCCCTACCAAGGTATCCATGTGCTCAAATTTGCATTTTTTACAATCTGGACACTTTGGCTAAGCTTAAAACCTCCCATTAAAATAGCTTCTAAGATATAGGGTTTTTTCCTAAATCTTCTAGCTGCTTGTAGAATAATTAAAAATATATAGAGGATGTTAACTGAGCTCTGGCCTAATTCTAAACTCTCTTCCATTCTATTTTCAGAGTGGCTTTTAGAAAGCAGAGACCTAGTTATGTTATTCTATCATTCAAAAAGTCTGTTACAATTTCAAATCAATGATGTTAACTTGGCATCCAGGACCCTTGCAAATCTAGCCCCAAATTAATCTCTGGTTCTTATCCTTTCTAACTGTTCAGTGTCACTGATTCCTGCGTCTTTATTCACACTGAGAGTTCTCTTCCACTTCATGTCACTATTTCAGAGTCACCCAGACTCTCCGTGCCTCCATTCAAATGTTATCTTCATAGTCTGTCTGGGTCCCCACCCCAACCCTACACTTGTTTTCACTTTATTTCTTACTCACGCATGTTTCATAGAGATTTATGTCACTACTATAGAGTTAATTTTTCTTTGTGGCAACAAGTATTTGGTAAGCAATGTTAAGTAATGCTTAAAGAAAAAAAATAGGCTTTTAAATTGGACTAGACCTGAGTTAGAACTCTGGGTATTGGGTAAGTCACTTAGTTTTTATGAATTCGAGCTTCTAAAATTCATAAACTGAAAAATAATTACCAAATTTGTTTGGTTTGGTGGAGGAGAGTTTCTGAGATAAACATCCTCAGTAAAGGGTGACTTATGCCACAATTATTCAGGTCATTTCACCCACTAGTTCATTAACAATACCTTGCAGCATCTTACACTCTGTAGTGCTTTCTGAATTGAATGGAAGCAACCCAAATTGTTGGCATCTGCTGCCTGGATCTTACTGAGCTATTAGTTTCCAACATCTGTTTTGAATTCCAGAAAGAAATTTCCATTTTTAGGCAACAGCGACATTTTCCTGTGGCATCTCAGTATCTCAGTATGTCTCAATCCCACAATATTATAACTTATACTTGGCACAAACCAAGTCAGCAGAACCATCGAGAAGCATCCAGCCCATGAGTATGCGTACCTTACCTAGGCCTACGGGACCATTCTATGCAAAGAGCCTGAGCAACAAGGAACACTGTGTGAGCTTTTAGTGAATTACCCTGTGCTTGGACATTTAAGCAGCAGCAATAATGGAACTTGAAAAGCTCTTAATTATTCACAATACTTGGAGACAGGGAAAGCACAGGTCATAGAATCCTTGATTTTCCTTGATGTCTAGAATGCTGGTAACTACACAGAATGCACTCATGATATGTTTTTCATGATAATTATTGATTGTCTTCTTTCAATTTTCAATTCCCTTTAAAGAAAAATCAAAAAAATGCAACTTCTGTTGTCTCTAGTGGTTTCTGAATTATTTGCTATAGAAAGCAGAATTTTTTAAACCATTGTGCCTTCAGCATCCTCTGAGTCTTTCTTTGTCCCCTTCTAACATAAATGTAACATATAGGGGACACTGGTGGAAAAACATGAGAAGTAGGATGGCTTAACTTACAAAGGGAAATGTTCTGGCCATCAGAATATTATACACCTGCCACAAGAAAATAATGCAAACCTACTAATTATGAAACATAATTGAGGTTATGTTTTTGTGTCAGAATGAATAGCTTGATTTCCCCTATCAATATAGGTAATAAAAATTTTTTTAAAAAGGAGGGATGGAGTTGTTGGGTTTCCAGAATCAAAGAAATTACAGTACCATCTCTTGTTTTGGTGTACAATAAAAATTTCAGCACCAAGGACAGCGACCCATGGGCCTTCTTGTGCACCTATCCTGAATAATTAATATTTTTTAAATCTTTTAAAATTTCTACACTCAGATGATTATACACTCACCTATATACTGTTTTTTTTTCTGGACAGTAGTTATATGCCAGATCTCAACTTGATATACAGAGACTCACCAGCCAGTTACAGTTATTAAGGTAAAACTGCACAAGAGATGAACAAGATAAGCTAATTAATAATTATAATACCACAAGATGAGTACCATGGAGAGTTCTGTGCAAGTAACGATTGGTGCCAGAGGAGAAGATGATTAACTCTGACTGGTGCAAAGCAAGATCTTACAAAGGGATTGGCCTGTGAACTGTATGTTGGAGATTGAATGAAGTTTACAAGTCAGAAATGAAATGACATGAAAGAATTCACAGTGTAGTCATGTGTTTCTGGGAATGTGATTTCATGTGGTTGAGAAGTAGGGTGAATGGAGGGAGAGGATTAGGGTTGCTCAGATCATGAAAGGCTGAGCCCAAGCTAATGAGGTTAGGCTTTACCTTGGGAAAATGGAAATCTGCAGAACAGGGGAGAAGGTTTGATCAGCCTTGTGTTTTAGGAAGATAGTTCAGAAAGCAGGAGAAAGAACAGACTGAACAAAAGGAGGAGGGGGGGAGAAATGAGCACATAGAAGGGAAAAAGAAGGGTGGCATTTCTCCACATGGTCCTGGGACTGAGTAAGGGGCTGCTCCACCATAGCCACAGATGAACAGAGAGAATTTATTCAGCCCAGCTTTGCATTAGCTGCTCATATGTCTCATATGACTTGTGTCTCTGCAGACTCCTCTAAGAAGATAAAAGATGTCTTGGCTGAATTTAATGAGGGTGGGAGTCTCAAGCAATATGATCCACATAAGGTAAGCATATTTCCATTTCAAGCCCTAGAAAACCCCATGTCCTAGTCTTTTCCTTCCACAATTTGTTTCCCTTTTGGAAGCTTAGCTTGCCTTAAAGCACTTGCTGCTTGATATATTTTCCCCTGAGTCGTGAGCGAGCCATCAGTGCTGCCTGGCGTGACGCTTCCCGATTCCATCACCCCTCCTGCTGTCCTAGAAGATTCCATCTACCTTCTCAGTTAACGTCTGTCACTCCTCCTCTCCTCATTCTCAGGAACTGAGAAAACAAAGCCTACCAGATAGGATCTTCCCTTAGCCGCCTCCATGTGCAAACCCAACCGTACCTTTTCTCCCGCAGTGAGGGCGGAGCCGTCTGTGCCCTGATCTAGGTCCAGCTGCCCTTCTTAAGCATTCAGTCCACCTCTTCTGGCCTAGGAACAGGCACCGTTTCAGCAACACATGTGTCCCAAACCCTGCGTCTTTCTCTCTATCTCTGCCTCTGTGTGTCTCTCATTGACTTTTCTGGATATATATTAGATTTTCCCATTCACATCTATACACCATTATTTTTCCTATATTAAACAATATTCCTAGGGCCAGGGAGATGGCTCAGTGGAATAAGTGCTTCCCTGGCAAGCGCAAGAGCCTGAGTTCAATCCCTGGTTCCACAAAAAAAAAATTCCCCTGGCTCCATTTCTCTCTCAAGCTGCCATCTTGTTCCTCTCCTGTTCTTTCTAGCAAATATTTGCAAAAGATTTGTCTGTACCAATTGACTCTGTGTTCACTTCTCTGGTGTCTTTCAATCAGTAGGAACCTGCCATTCCTCCACTACAACCCCTAGTCAGCATGGCCTAGGACAGCAACTACGTGCAGTGGCACTGGACCCACTCAGCCAAATCCTTCCCCAGTTTCTTCATTTGGTTTCAGAGTACCACACTCTCCTGATTTGCCTTTGAGCTCACTCCTTGAATATTCCACTTGAAGTCAACTAGAAATCTTGAATTTATCAGGTCCTGAACCATCCCCTATAGAAGAGCGGTTTTCCCCATTTCTAACAGTGACAATTTCACTCCTCAAATTATTCAGTCCAAAACTGGGAGTCATTGCTAACATTTCTCTTGCTTCCTCAAGCCAAATCTAGTTCATCCGAAAACAGTTGCTTCTACCCTCAGAACACATCTGCAGTACCCCTGCCTCCCACTGCCTGTGCTGCCGCCATCCTGACCCGGGTCAGCAGCAGATCACTGCCGGAGTCTCTTACCAGGGTCCCCTTCTTCCTCCCTTGCCCTTGAAAGTCGATTCTTCACACACGAAATGAGTAGTCTGTCACAACTCATGACACAGCGACTACTCGTGGTGAAACAATCTGCCATGGTTCCTCCAACCCCTACGCAGATTAAAGGTCCAGGTCGATGTAGTTGCTGCTCTGCACAGACTCCAACCTCAATTTTTTTCTGCTCTCCCTGTCCCTACTCCTCTCCAGCCACAATAGTCTCCTTGAGGCTATGGTGTCATATTGCTGTCACGTTGCTTGTCACATCAGCACCTCACACTGGCTGTTGCCTCTTCCTGGAATCCCCACTGCACCCCCAGTGCAACCACATGATTCGCTTTCTCCACTCCTTCAAGTCTAGGCTCATATCACCTCCTTATGGCTCTCATCATCTTTATCTAAAATCTGAAACCCTTTTTCCTGAGGCTTCCCGTCTTGTTTCTCTGCCTTCTTTTCCTTTTTAATACTTCTTACCATCTGTCTCACTATATCATTTAATTAATTAATTGTCTGTCTCTCCCACGAGAATATTTTTGTTCACTGCTGTCTCCAGTACCCAGAAAAATATCTGGCTCATAGCGGGCATTTGACAAACATTTGTTGAACGAATAAGTGAATGCAAGACTTCTTCTCATTTTTAAGTCAATGCATCTATCCTCTCTGGGTATCCACTCACTGTGCTGTGCACAGTAGCAAAACAACAACCAAGAAGCAGTTTCTGCCTTGTGGAGCTTATTTCCTACTAAGAGGATCAACTTCGTGGGTCTTGACGCTAGAGTCACAGGGTCTTAGGTTAGACTTACCCGCCAATACTCCTCTTCTTTCCTCCATCCTTTCCTGGAAGGTTTTAAGCTCTCCTTCCTTTTCCCTGCACCTGGGTCCTTTCCTGAGGCCCCTGTGCAGAAAGGTGAAAGCTCAGAAGGACTAATTTAGGGAGAGGCCACTTACTTCTGTTCAACAAACCCAAGTCAGTGCCTTCTCCACTGGACACTGAGAATGAATCAACAGGCCCTGTGCTCTCAAGGTACACCTGAGAGGGGCTTCGGATGAAATGCACCAGTCACGGGAGAATGGAACAGGAGGGAAGTTGCCAGAACAGGGGCAAGATTGTGAATGCACTGTTTCGAAGAACATTCCTGAGGAGAAGCCACGCAGAGAAGATGGCAGAGCCGGCAAAGAACTCACTGCCCCACACCGCCCACCCCAACTCCAAAAACACAGGAACAAAGGCTGGCGGGGGCTGCTAATCAGCCTGTCTGCCGGGGACAGACTCGTGGGAGGAGAACAGATTGGTCAAGGCCACCGCAAGTGTGAAGGGCACAGCAGCTTTCAGAACAGGCAGCAGCTTGCCAGTCAGGAGCGTGGGGCCGCCCTTGAGCCTGTCAGCCGCAGCCCCACTCTTTGTCCGCCTGCCACGACTGTATCCTGTGGGAGCCCTGTCACTCTGACTTCACTCTCTCACGCCGTGCACTTGACTTCTGGTAGGTGTAATGTCGTGGCACGGGGTTGGCGAAACAACAAGGGTTTAATTTCTCAAGCTTGATGGCTCCCAGCTGCTAAAATGTCTCAATGAGAAAGGAGTTAGCTGTGGGAAGGGACAGCTTTCCGAGGACGCTGGTGAGAGAATGGCAGTTGCAGAGGCGTTGGCTGCACCTGACTGGGGTGAGCCTGTCCCTGCTCATCACCACCATGAGATCCTGTGGGGAGTAAGGCAGTGGCGAAGAGCCACGGGAGAAACACTTCTCCAGAAGGTGTCAGAGGCAGTGCGTGGACCCAGACACATCTGAGCACCATTAATCTCTGTTACATGCTTTGTGATCTTGAACACACTGTTTATGTTGGCAAAATTTGTTTGATCCCCCAAAGTGACAGTCACCATCCCTTCTTGCTCTGTCATCTTGAGAACTGAAGGCCTTGTTCAGGTATACACTGAACAGACCCCACAGTCGTAGTTGATAACAACCAGGGCAAGGGACCAAGCCATTCTGGAAGTGTGCCAATTAGGAACCCATTATCCATTCAAATAGCTAAGAAGAAACACTGATGGGTGACTTAGGGGTATAAAAATAAAACACGTTATTCTCACTACCTTCCAGAAGCTCTGGATCTAGTACAGGACTTAAGATATGACACAAATAACTCTATTAACACAAAGCGGCTTATGTGAGTGTCAGAAGTAGGAACTAAGGTGCAGAATATAGAAACTTGGACACAGGACACCCTTCCTGGCTGGAGGATCTGGATTGGGCCCTAAAGCATGGCTAGAATTTTAATAGGAAGGGAAGGAATAATGTGGTTCAGAGGGGTAAGGGATGGAGGGCGGTCAAGAGAAAAATAGACACACAAGTATGGTCAGGTGTATGAACATAGCTGCATATGGAGAGTGTGGAATGGCCTCAGATCTTGGAGTAGCCACAAATTTAATTTACAGTGGGACTGTGAGGGAAGCTCTGAATCCCAGCAGTCTCAGCGAGTGCACAGGGTGAGCCATTAGATTGTAGTAGCACAACATATAAGACCTCCTGCTTACATTCATTTTTACCTCACCTAATTGTCTTTTTAAAATATATTTTATATGTAAGACAGCGATGGCAAAGCTTTCAGTGATAAGGAACAGCCGGCTGGGGCATATAGTCAGTTCACTGCCGCTGTTATTGGAGCACCTTAGCACATCAACTGATCTCTGCTTTCCCATGGGCAGTTAGAAGCCATGCAAGATTTGAGCAGAGAAGCAATCTTAGCAGAGTTAGCTTCAGGAAAACCTGGAAAAGATGGGTAAGAAAGATGGAAGGACCCAACAGATGGGATTGGGGCAAGGAAGCCTTGGAGAGGTGTTGTGGTGTTGTGGGTAAGATGCATGAAACAGGCTGTGGTGGTGGCAGCAGAGGCAGTGGACAGGAAAATGTCTGAATGCGACAGATGGTGTGCAGAGGAACAAGGGACAGAAGGAAGGGACAACAACTAGGCTCGGACCACAGAAAGTTTCAAGCTGAGTCTGGAATGTTGGCATAATCTGTCATCAGCATTAGCAAGAGTAGCAGAGTCAGGAAGAGGAGGTAGCGTAAGGAGGTGCTGACAGAAGTTCGGAACCCGAGATCTTCAAGCCCAGCACGCCCAGTATGTTGAAGAAGAACCTGAGGTTCAAACCACGTAGTGGATCGGAGACCAGTCGCAGATCTCCTGAGTCTCATGCTCATTGTCTTCAGTCCTCTTTGGCTTTGGTTTTTTTCACAGCATCATGTTAGACCTGGTTTGGACTTTCTTTTTTTGCTAAATCACTTAGAACAATCTGCTTTCCAAAAACATTTTATTCTAGCAGTTTTCAATTTGGTGATTTACCAGAGGGGTTAGCAGTACATGTTGGAAGCCAAAACTACAGCTTAAAACAGTATTTGCAAATTAAATTTATCCAAAAGGAGCATGAAAAACAACATTTAGAAATAATAAATAATAATGCCATTTTGTACTGGGTTAATATTGTCCCTTAGTTATTGCAAACTGATCAGGCCTGTAGTCTCCCAAATGGGTAGACAGTGAAGGCTAAATAAAAGAGACAAATGAAATGATTTCAGGACTCCAGGAGGATTAAAACCCTCTCACAAATTTTGAGATTCTCTCAGAGCTAAGATGAAGATCTTCTCTGGGCTATATCTACTTATTTATCAGAACAAGGGAGAGAAGTACTCAAAAAAGGTGGAAACAGCTCAAGGATTTCTCCAAACAAGGCATCATGTTAATTTAGTCATGGGGGGTGGGTGGTAACCAGGGATCAAACTCAGGACCTATCACTTACCAGGCAAGCACTTATTCCGTTGATCTACCTCCTGAGCCCCAATTATGTTAATTTAGGAGAGTTCTGTTAACTCCCAGGAAGGTCTTCACTCAGGAGTGAGATGCCTGAAGCTAGTCTTTATCTCACCGAGGTTGGAGCCAGGTGTCCTTAGCTGTGAGCTTGTCTAATGCTTTGAGGCTTCGTGACTTCACCCACCATGACAGGCCCCAGTAAGAATCAGTGACTCCCAGAGCTTCACTTTCCATGAGTCTGCCACCCATCTCCAGACAAAGGGCCTAGGTCTTGGACAGACTCACAAGTAAACATGGGAAGCTAACTGGTTAACTTGAGTCCTGTTCAGTGCTGCTTTGTAGTGTTCTCCATTAACTTTACAAATACTCAGTCAAATCAAAGTAGAGAATGAAGCAAACCAAAATAGAGCAACTCCATGGAAAACCACTTCAAGAAGAAAAGAGGATGAAACACTATCAAAAAGCCAACAGTGAGAAAGCCTGAAAAGAGGCAACTGAATTTGCAAGAGCAAGTTCAGAACTAAAACACTGGACCCCATACTGGATGCAATTAAGGAGGTTAGCAAGGTTTGTTGAAAGAAATTTCAAGGGAAATGAAGATAGGATGTGCTAGTCGCTCTACAGTAGCAGACAACAATGTCTTTGGTTGTTTTTTTTTTTTTTTTTTTAACTGGAACCGGGGATTGAAATCAGACCTTGTGCTTGCCAGGCAAGCGCTTATTCTACTGAGCTATCTCCCCAGCCCCTGTCTTTGGAATAGTGGTCATGGAATAAGCTTACAGGTGGAAGACAAAGGGGTTAGCAGATGCTATCAGAGATGGAGGGTGGAAGTGAGTAGGTTATGTGTAGGAAGAAAAGATTTCACTGTTGTTTCCTGGGGACGGGGGAAGAGTGTGAGAAGAGGGTATTCCAAAGTGAAAAATTATAGGTAGAGAGCATGAAAGAGAGACACAGGGATCAGGAAATAAGGCCAAGGAGAGGTGGATGGCTGTCACCATGAAGGGGAATCCAGCATTCTCTTAGCATTCCTCTAGACAGATAAGAGGTATGTCTAACTGAGTGAGGCTCTTCCACTCTGCAAAGATCTCTGGGACACCCCAGCTGGGAGCTAACAGAAACTGCTTTGTGAGCTTCTAAGGGGGCAGGAGGGCCATGTAATTGTAGGGCCAAGACATGCAACTCAAACTTCATTGTACACATGCAAATTGACTCCTGGCTCTGGAAAGACTGACAACTCACCCAAGACAAACTGAGGGTTAAATATGATCCCCATTTTGATGGTGCCCCTAAGTAGGCTCCAAAATAAAAGGATTCTATCCTCAAGGCTGATACTATTCACAAAAGCCAGCGCAGCAGATCTTGGTGCAGCACTTCATCAAATGAGTTCCAGGAGCATCTGCTGGTTTGATGAAGATCCGATGCCATGAAAGCACAAGCCAGTGATGACTCATTGCAACTGTTGTTGCTGTTGTTGTGGAGTGTTTACTGAGAGCAGCAGCTCTTTCTGGCATGGTTGCTCCCGGCCTGGGACCAGAAGCCAGGCGATACTAGGAGAGGCACAGCAGGAACAGGGTCTAGTTCTTGGCATCTCTCTTGGTCCACCTTCTGTCCTCAGCTTCCTGCTCTTCTCCTGGGGCCTAAAACCTTCACAAGGACATGTTTTGAGAAGCATCTGACACATGCAGTGCTCTGTCATTTTGGGAGGGATCAGAACTATGAAGGTAAGGAAGGATGGAGCCTTCCTAGCTCACTGTGCTCCCTTCAGAGTGCTCCTGTTTTCTGAGACCCACATGCTCAGGAATCACATTCCTAATGGCACAAGAGGAAAACCAGGATACCACAGATGAGCCCCTTCTGTCCCTGACATTGTCAGTTGCATCCTTCTTTGTCTTAGCTAGGATTCCAGGGCACTGACCTCATTCCTGCTCCTTAGAGCTGCATCCTGCACATGAGCCTGGACCAAAGCAAAGCCCCCCACCCCAGAATGCACTCCCCATCACCCCCTTTTGGTCCAGAGTGAGACCACTCCATAGGTCACCAAGGGGCCCTGTGGTCCTCTGGCCTACCACATCCTGATGTGCAATCAGCAGCATTTCTCTTTTTTACACCCCAGCCCATCCCTGTTCCCACCATTCCCCACCTCCCCTGGGCCTCCTCCTTCCTGACTCCATCACTTCTCCACTTCCTTTGCTCCCTCTTCACATCCCCCACCTGTCCTCTCCATGCCTCCTTTTCCTTCTCCCCCTCCTTTCTGCACCTTCCCTTCCCTGCACTGACTTTTCTCTTCCTGCCCCTCTCAGCCAATCAGCTATGATGTCTTCAAGCTGTTCATGAGGTCATACCTGGAAGTGGATCTCCCTCAGCCTCTGAGCACACACCTCTTCCTGGCTTTCAGCCAGAAGCCCAGGCAGGAGAACCTGGACCACTCCAAGGAGGGGGCCAGCAGCAGTGAGCCCAATGGCCCAGGTACACGACCAGCTTTGCCCAATAGGAGGGACATTGAGCGTGTCCAACCCTTAGCCGTGCCCAAGCTGCATTCCTGGAGGGCCCCAAAAGTAGTAAATCCTCAACAGGGTAGGAGTGGGGGCCAAGGGATGGGACTCTTTCTTCATAGGACCTCAAGGAACCTATGGAAATCCCTTAGTGAGACAAAGAAAAGGTTAATGCCTGCCATTTGGGCTCAGAGAGTGGGAGGAGGCAAGAAGGGACACAAACATGTGGCAGAGGATGGGCCACGTTCATCACGCGCACAGACTCAAACAGGAGGCCCCCAGAGGAGCCAGAGAAACACTCACCATTGTTCTGGGGTTTGGGCTTACTGACTGGTGTTGACCATGTCTGCCATCTACCTGGGAGCCACAGTCAACCCTAAGCAGTGAGCATGAAGCTAGCTGGCAGCAACTCAGGGTCACAGACACAACTGAAGTGAGCCTCATCACCTGGGTAGGGCCTTGTGTGTCCCCTAAGAAGCTGGAAGACATGAGCTGATCTTTGATTCTGTGTTGTTGTTGCTCCCAGGTTCTAACACACAGCATGCAGATAACAGTGCCAAAGCAGCTGAAGCCTGTGCCCCTGATACTGGTGAGTCTGTGGGGCAGAGGATTTGGGGAAGGAGCAGGACACTCCTCACCCTTGGGAAGAAGTGGGATACCCACTAGCAGCTTTGTCTCCATATACCATGTCCCTGTGAGCAGAGCCTCACCATCGCTGGTGCCCCTGATGTTTGAATGTCCTGGGATCTGGAGGCTAACACAGTGGCTCTTGCTTCACTTACCCCAGAACTGAAACAGTGCAGACTTGGGCAGCTTGCTAGCTGTGTACCTGACAAGTCCACCTGCCCCAAGCAGAGATGGCCTTCTCAGGAGAAGTGTGTGCAGGGGTGTGTATGTTTGTCTGTGTATGTGTGCATGTGTGTGTGTGTGTGTACATGTATGAATACATGCATAGGGTGATACACATTTCCTGTTCACTATTCAAACTAAGTTGGATCAGGAGACAGGGTGTATTGGCGAAAAATATGGACTTCAGAGCCAGTCTGCCTGGGTCTGGTTACGAGCTCCAACACCACCTCACTAACAGTAGGCATGTTTGAACAATGTCTCTGTCTCATTGTCCCGTCTGAAAAATCAGAGGACAATACCAGATACCAGATTTGTGTCCCACAGTGACAAAGAATGGAACCATGGATGGAAGAAATAGGATGCAGGGGAATTTATTTAAAAGATATTAAGGCAAGAAAGTGAAAGATAGGAAGTTGGAAAGTAAAAGATAGAAAGTAAAAGCAAGGAAGTAAAGTTCCCATTATTCAAGAAGGCTCTTTGTCTAGAAACTTTTAAGGGGCCTTCATGGAAGCAGTATAATCTTGACCCCAATCTGTGCATCATTCACTCACTGTCCATGCACTGCCAGTGGTCTGGAGAGGTCCCCAACAGCTGAAGCACATCTAGATCTCCCCGGAGGGTCATCACTCAGCAGTCTCCATCTGGACTTCCAGGCTCCATTTGGGGCACATTGTCCTTACTGTCTAGTAGAGTCCTACCTGCTGGTGCACTGATTCCTAATAGATATTTTTACGAAATTTCAGTGACTTTATTGTGTAAATGCTTAGGACAAGACTGGTATAAACTAAATGTTGGATAATATTAGTGTTTATTATTCCGGCCCCTGACCTTGCCACTGTGCCCCATGCTGTCCCTCTTTCTACACCCTCAGTCTCCCACATGTCCCCTGAGCCTCCTGCTCCAGTGGCAGATCTCTCATGGACTCTTTCTGCCAGGTTGCTCCTTAAGTTTAAGTATAAAGACTCAGAGAATTAAATCTTATTTATTGATACTTCAGAGACCAAAGGTGAGGTGCGCTGCTGCCTCCTGAGGCCTCTGAGAGCTGCAGCAGGGCTCAGCTCCACAACAGTGTGGCTCATCTACTGCCCAGCCCTGTTGCAGCCTTGGGGAGAAGATGAAGTCGAGAGCCTCACATCTTCTGTGGGTTAGAGGAGGCATGATCTGTCGCAAATCATTCTCATGGTAGGAAGGCAGGAGAAACCTGGAAGCTCTGAGACTCAACTCCCAACTGAGAAAAAAAAAAAAAAAAAAAAAGCATCTTACCTCAAATTCTGTACCCAGAGACTTTCTCTGTCCAAGAACCTGGAAATTCAAGAGGAACTTGGGAGAATTATCGTTCATTTCTTGAATTTCCCATTGTTTGGACAGAGTCTGTGTTGTGGCTGAAGATTCTGCCAGTTTCTAGCAAGAATTTATGGAGGATTAGTCATTCCATGATATTTGAGAAAAGTTGACCAATGGCAGTAACAGAACTTTTCTGATTTATTGAACTCTGATGCTTGTCTTCAATAGCTTTATCATTCAGAATATAAAACAAGAACTTCCAGGGATCTCATCGTGGAAAAACCATAGGGAAAAATAGTTCCCCCTTGGGGCCGAGGAGATGGCTCAGTAGAATAAGCGCTTCCCTGGCAAGTGCAAGGGCCTGAGTTCTATCCCCGGTTCTACAAAAGAAAAAAATAAATAAATAAATAAATAAATAAATAAATAAATAAATAAATAAAACATGATTATCCACTTAAAAAAGAAAAATAAGTTCCCCCATAATCCAATCATAAAAGAATAATGATCTTGGGCTGGCCCCGCCCCCAGCCACCAAGACTAGGCGCAGTGGTGCTCTCCCATAATCCCAGCGCTGGGGAGGCTGAACAGAAGGATCACTATGAGTCTGAGCTGCGTAGTGAGACCCTGTACCACATGTAAAAACATTTAAAAAATAAAAGAATAATGATCTGATTCTGGGCCCAGAGAGATGTACAATACTTTATCACCTTTATCTGAGACTTGAGATTTAAAGGAGAAAATCCTTTCCCCGCTAGGACCCCTTCAGTAGATGTCTTAATTAGATGCTTCTGTTCACCAGAAATGAGGATTAGGACCAGCAGATGCTACACGGAAGGCCTCTGCCAGCAAGGGAGAGCCAAGTCCAGGTATCACCTGAGATCAGGCCATCTGCTGAAAATCCCAGCCTCTTCCTGTGGTCTCAGCAGAAGCCAGAAAAGGAAGCCAGATTATCATTTGATGTGACCAGTCTACACCTATCAGATCAGTGTCTGTGTTAAGATCTAGAATGACCCCTTTCAAGCATTTCATTCCCAGAGTTGGCGGGTGCCTGGTTGTATCCATGAGCCAGTGGAGACAAGGTCAGAGTCCAGACATTGGCTCAGAGCCAGAGCAGTTTGTTATTACACCAGGGTCAGTTCAGGAAGGTCCAGGACCAGGTGGGTTGAAAGTGGAAAACTTCACAGTCCAGACTTTTATTTGTTTTTTTTGTTTTTTGGATTTTGGGGTTTTTTTTAAGTACTTTGTACAGGGTCTACAGGGTTTCACTACATAGATTGGACTCATAGTGATCCTTCTGTTTTCAGCCTCCCACGCGCTGGGATTACAGGCACACACCACCACACCCAGTGTCAATTGCCTGTCAATCAGAACACCCTGGGGGCAGGGCCAGCAGCCATGCTGGGGATCAAAGCTGGTCCCTGTGTCTTCCTAAGCAGGCGCTTTCATCCACTGAACTATCTGACTGGCTGCTTATTTGGTTTATTAAGCTGTTAAGAAGTTTCAGCCACCTACAGTCTCAGAATCTGCAGGAAAGTCCTGTTTTTTTATTTCTCCCAATTATAAAAATCATATACTCACATAGCAGAAAATTTGAAGAGAACATCAAAAAGAAAGAGCCCAGTCCGTGCTTATCTGGGGTCATGAGAAAGAAGGATGGAAGGCACAGCGCACAGTGACGTTAGGACTGAAGTTACAGCGGCGCACACAGCCATCACCCATGCACCTCCTCCATAGGACTCACACTGCCGAGCGAACCCCAGCGGGAATCTGGGCTTGGTGATGCCAACGAGGTGTCTGCGCTGGCGGGGCGGGGTGCACAGAGGCCGTGCCTTGGGGAGCAAGCATGTGCGGAGCACCTCTGTACCTCCGCCTGCTTGCTGTCAATCTAAAAGTGCTCTTTAAAAAATGTGTCTTTTTTAAAAACAGAACAGAAATAACAAAAACACCCACAAGCCCACTCGTGCAATTATGTATGCGTATGCAATCTCCTTGTAAGCCTTTTTCTCCATAATTTTTTGTTGTTGTTGTTTTTACAGAATTGGGATCAGACCACATGTAGAATTCTGAATCCAGTTTTGTTTGCCACTTTTTTTTACATTTAACACTATATTCAGAATAACTCCTGACATTCGAGACTTGGGGGTCAACATCAGTTTTATTACAACCCCTCCCTCTTATTTTTTTAAAATGTTTTATTTATTTATTTATTTATTTATTTATTTATTTGGTTCAGGGTCTCACTACATAGCTCAGACTCATAGTGATCCTCCTGTCTCAGCCTCCCCCGCACTGATGATAAGCATGCGCTACCATGCCGTATTTCTGTGACTCGCACAGCACCGGGAACTGGCACTGCATGTGGTACTGGGGATAGAACCTGAGTCCTTGCGCTTGCCAGGCAAGTGCTTAGACTGCTGAGCTATGTCTGTGGCCCAAGCTCCCTCGATTAACAGATGAGAAAACTGAAGGGAGGGTGCTGCAAGGAAGGAGTCCAGCTGCACACAGTCGACCCCATTCAGCACAGGCCCAGTGGGAGTACCCCAGGCTTCACCCCCAGCCTGGGCTTTCCCTCTGTGCCACCCTGCCCACCTGAAGGGCAACGAGGAAGGCAAACACTGAGCACCATGGTGCACAAGCCACACTGCCCCGAACCCTCACATCGCAGGGTTTGTGACTTGACCCCAGACAAGAACCTCTGGGCCTAGAAGGCCGCAATAGCTCCCCACCCTTTTTCTCACTGGTGGCACCAGCAGGATGTCCTCAGATGGCTCTAGGTTAGGGACAGCTCATGTAAGCACACCCAGGGTGGCATCAGTGTGACTCAGCTGGCTTTCTGTGCCCCAACATCTCCACGCAGGGGTGAATAGCAAACCTCCATGAAAACTAGAGCAAAGACTCGACCCCTGTCCTCACCGCAGCAATCCATGGGCTTTAGAAAAGACTGTTTTCTAAGGGCTCTGTTGAATGCAGAGCTGACATAAGGAAAGTTGGGCATGTTTTAAGTGAAAATTAGTAAGTTCTGACACAGAGGTAAAACTAACACCACAATCAATACAGTGAATATATTTATCATCTCCAGAGGCTGTCTAATTGCTTCTCCCCCTTGTCCCCACACCTACACAACCTCTGATCAGTTTTCTGTCACTGTATTAGACTGCAACATCTGGATTTTATATGAGTAGAATCAGAACATGTATGCCCCCCCTTTTTTTTTTTCGTATTTAGGGCAGGGTGTATTGGTGTACAGGGATCTCACTGCGTAGATCAGACTCACAGTGACCCTCCTGTTTACAGCCTCCCAAGTGCGGGGATTACAGGCATGTTCCACCACGCCCAGTCTCAACCAGTGTCTCAGTGCACCTCGGGGCAGGGCCTGCCTGGGAATCAAACTCCCAGCCCCTGTGTCTGCCTAAGCAGGCGCTTTAATCTGCTGAGCAATTTGGCCAGCCTTCATGTACGCCTTTTTGAGCTGGCTTCTTTCACACAACATAGTTTTAAGATTTACCTGTGTTTTACATATTAATAGTTCATGTATTTTAGATGTTTGAGATCCTACCATGTGGATAGTCTGCAATTTGTTTATTCACCTGATAATGAACGATGGACATTCAATTTGTTTCCAGCTTTTGGTGATTACAAATAAAATTGTTGTGAATATTCTAGTCCAAGCCTCTGTAGGGACAATTTTCCTTTCTCTTGGCTAAGTTTCTACAAGTACCATGCCTGAGTATAATAGAGTAGGGACTGTATGTGTTTAACTGTATAAGAGATGGGAAAACTCTTTTCCAAAGTGGTCAGAACATTTTCCATACCTCGCAGCAGCATGTAAGAGTTCCTGCCGCTCCAGCACCAGAGCGCAGAAGGACAGTCTTTATTTTAGTCATTCTAACGGGTGTGCAGTGGTGTCTCAGCGTGGATTCAGTTTGCCATTCCCTAATGACTAATAATTTGAACACCTTGTATAGACGTAATTGGCATCTCTATGTCTTCTTCAGTGAAGTTTTCAAATCATTTGCTCATTAATTTTTTTTTAACTTTCTCATTGTTTTAAGAGTTCTTGTAGACTATGATTTTGGTTCTTCGTAAGTATGTGATTTGCACATAGTGTTCGTCTGTTTGTCTTCTCCTTCTTTAATGATTTCTGTTTTAAAAAGTCATAGTTTCTATGAAGTCCAAATTATCATGTTTTCTTTTTATGTCCTTTTCATTTTTTAACTTATTTTTTTTCTTTTTTTTTAAATTTATTTTAAAGACAGCATAATAATGATAGGTGAGACTTTGAAGATGGTACATACTTAAAAGAACAAGATGAAAGACATTCAGCTGTGGTTGTTATATTGCACCTTGTTGTCCTCAGTGTAGTTGCTCAGATTATAGATATTAGCATTTAGAGTTAGTTAAAGTCACAACTTTAAATATTGCCCACTACTTTCAAAAAACTGGTAGAGAGCCGACCAGATAGCTCAGCATATTAAAGCGCCTGCCTTAGGCAGCTGCAGGGAGCAGGGTTCGAGCCCCAGCATACTGTGCCAGCACCGTTCCCAGGGGCATGCTGAGATGGCGACTGAGACTGGGTGTGGTGGCACACACCTATAATCTCAGAGCTTGGGAGGCTGAAAACAGGAGGATCACTACAAGTCCAATCCATGTAGTGAGACCCTGTAGACTCTGTACTAAATATTAAAAAAAAAAAAAAAAACTAAAGACAGCAATGTGTAATACTAAAACCATGCTTGAAATACCTGTCATCTTGTTCTTCTAAATGTGTACCATTTCTAATGTCATATCAATTATTACTACACTCTTTTTTTTATTTTAGGAAAGGGTCTACAGGGTGTTCAGAGTCTCACTACTAGATTGTATGCATAGTGATCAGCCTGTTTATGGGTCTCCAAAGAGCTGGGATTACAGGTACATGCCACCACACCCATGTCTCAGCATGCCCCAGGGGCAGGGCTGGCACAGCAGGCCCAGGTATCAAACCCCTGACCCCTGCACCTGCTTGCAGGCACTTTAATCTGCTGAGCTATTTGACTGGCCCAATTATTACTATACTCTTTAAAGTAAATATTTTATTTTAAAAAAAGTTATGAAAGAAAATAAGCCAAGAACAAAAATTTAAGGTTTCTTAAAAGCATGTGGTAATATTCAATCATATGTTCCATCTTGCATAACTATATCTGTTAATCTGAGCAACAGATTGGACAATAAAAATAGATAATACATCAATCACTGTTAATCAGCTATTCTTGTTTTGAAAATCTGTGACTTATGTATTATTACATGTTACCCTGTTTCTGTCTTTGCTTTTGTTTTTCTTGCTCTTGTTTTCACTCTTCAAAATCTGAGAAAATTATAATTTAAAAAAGGTAGAAATTAGTAGGACAATCTTCTCAGCTATCTTGTGTATCTACTTACACAATTTCCCCCTTCCCTTTTTTCCTATCTTTTCTCTTTTCTCTCATCTCCATTGTTTATTCCTTATGCTAAAGTTTCTTTCCATTTTCCTATAGCTATAAACATCAGATTGTCTCCCTAGTGTAAGAACCTGAAAGAATAAATAAAATTTCAAAGCTACAATGCTTTCCCTTTATGAACTGAACCTTGGTATCATATCTTGGAATCATTTGCTGAACTGAAGATCATCAAGAACTGACACCTTAAAACACTGAGTCTTCCAATAGTTGGACGGAATACATCTTCATTAAGGTCTCATTTAATGTTTTATATATTATTGGATTCAGCTCCCTAAAACTGTTACAAACTTTTGTATCTGTGTTCATGAAGAACATTGACGTCATAATCTCTTCTTATAACGTCTTTGATGTTGGCTGTAGAGCAATACTAAATCTCATAAATGGGTTGGGTCCAATTCCCTCCTAAATTTTCTGGAAGAATTTCCATTATTCCTTCCTTAAATGTTGAGTGCTAATTTTTTTTTTTTTTTTTTTTTTTTTTGCATTCCAACAAATATTCTTGAGCTTTGCTTTGGTACAATTAAGTGACTTGGAAATGATTTGATCTTTTGGAGTCCTGCTTCATTGGGCAGAAGCAGAAAAGCGTTTACGCTGGAGCTAATTTTGCCTGGATACTGAGGCAAAACTCTTCTGAACACTGGGCTGATGAATTATGAATGACAGCCTTTCTCTACCTGGTTGACAGGAACCAATACCTTATTTCTGATTCTCCTCACATTCCAGAGGCTGTTCTTTCCCGACTCCAGACACACGAGAACACTAGTTATCACTCAGATGAATAATGGAGAGTAACAGCCCGCTGATGACACAAAGGGGGTCCTCTGCATGTTTCTAAAGTCCTCCGGCCCCCTCCCCTTCCTCCCCCTCCCCTCCCCCTCCCCTCCCTTCCCCTGGGGTTTCCTCTGCTCCACTGCTCTGCTCTAGGAGCCGCCTTGGGCTCCCCAGATTCCAGGTCCACCTCTGCCCGGAGCGAGGGTCCGCATCTGCCTGGAGTGTAGCTTCAAAAGTTTCCAAACAGCGGACACAGCAATTCTAGGGGTCATTGTTCTTGTTTCCTATCTTTCTCTGATATTTAATGTCTTGTGAACCATTGACCATATTTCTGTCCAATTCTTTAGTTGTCAGCTAGGTGGGTACAGGTGGTCCCTGTTAATCACAGAAGTCGTCAGTGATTTTCAGCGGATTAGTAATTGGAGGACACAGCAATGACTTGGAGTAAGATGATGACCTGGCACAGCAACTTCTCTGATTTGCCTTCTGTGCTATTGTTATGGTTTCCGTGACTTTTTTCCTAGTAGTGGCTTTAATACTGTTGTTGCAAAAGTCATTTCTCTACAACTCTCCTCTATCTCCTCTATCTCTGCTTTTACCTTTTCTGTTTGTATTTTCTTCTCTATTTATGCACCCTGAGGCTTTCTGCTTCTGTTTAATTGAGCTTGTGTCATCTTGCTGCTGACTTGTCCAGTAGGAAATAGTGTTGCAAGATCTCTTCCTTGGAGACATCAGGATGGCGGCTCCTTTCTTTGTCGTATAGCAGGGCTGCGTAGGCTGCATCACGGTGCCTTTAGGGGTCCTTGAAGCACAGTGCGCCAGGACCTTCGGCCTCCTCTGCCATCCATCTGGATGGTAGCGAGAGCCGCTCCTGACCCCGACCTGGGGCCTTGCACCTGGCATAGCTCTGCGGGCCTGAGGTGGAGAGTGCATCCCAATGCTTAGCTCTGTGGTTTTCTGATTAAAGAATATGTGGACAATGGCTACCAGGACTGCTGCTGAAGTGTCCTTGGCATTATTTCTGATGGGTATGGAAATAGAGAGGCTGAAGGAAGAAAGAGAATAGCCAAAGCACCTCAAAAAACATAGAAGTCACACAGGAAAGCACAGCTGCCTGGCTTTCTTGTTAATAACAGATCTGATGCTTCTGAGCTAGTGGACAGAGCAGGAAAGAGCCAAGAGGGGAGATGTTGGAGGGAAGACATCCTCTTCTCTCATGCTACAATAAGCCATTTCTACATCCGATTAGGCTTACAATGAGCCAAAGTTCTTTCCAGCTTCTGAAAATTAGTTAATTATCAGTCCCCATTCTCTCTTCTGAATATTCATTTGTCTTTAAATGCTCTTGAGAATAAAATTATGAGGATATATTGGTAAATGGTGATTATCCATTATACCATTTTGAAATTACTTCTCTGAAATGGATGGTTTCCCAAAAAGTAGGCTGAAGGACATTTACCTGCTGAGTACTCTACTACCACGAGTCACCGTCATCTTTCTGAAAATTGGGAGGAAATAAATTAATTTCCTTCAAGAAAAAGGCTGTGTGCATGTGTGTGTATGTGCATGCATGCATGCGTGTGTGTGTGCATGTGCGTGTGTGCGCGTGTGTGTGTGTGTGTGTGTGAGAGAGAGAGAGAGAGAGAGAGAGAGAGAGAGAGAGAGAGAGAGAGAGAGATACTGGGGGTTGAACTTGAATTCAGGGACTTCATACTGAGCTATATCCCCAGCTGAGTTTCTCAGGCTTAACTGGAGATCCACCTGCCTCAGCCTCCCAGAGTGCTCGTATTACAGGCATACACCACCATTTCCAGCTGGAAATAGGCTTTTTTAAGGATTAGAATGAGGTCATATCAGAGGAAATGACCTCCACAGATTAGAATTTAAGGGCCACTGATTTGATCATGTCTGTATAACTCAAGCTTCTAGAGACATCAATATAAAACCTTTATGTCTATTCTGAAGAAGATGGGGGGATGGTTAGCAGTCACTAAACATGAGTCCTCGAATCCATCACAGAATCAAAGGTGGCTGAGAAACACACGCCGGCTAGAAACCAAATGGCTGCACCCCGCCTGGGAGGCCCTGCTGCTGAAACGTCCAGCTCAGAATCCCCTGCGGTATACCTGAAGGATGTTGTGTGCTACCTGTCACTGCTGGAGACCGGAAGACCTCAGGATAAGCTAGAATGTAAGTTCACATCCTACCGAGGGCTTCAACTTTTCCTACAGGAGGAACTGGGTCCTTAGCAGGCTGGACATTGATCTGGTATGAGGGGCCTGAGTCTGGCCTTTCTGAGGACGGTTTCTCTGTCCTCTCACTGGCAGGGATATGTGCAACATTGCCTAGACTCCTCCCTAGGATACAATGCTGGTTGTGTATAGAGTAGGGAGGGCACTTGTGACCTTGACATAGAGAACCAGAATTTGGAAAGAGAAGTGGTTCATGTCAAGGAGTCAGGACTCCTCTGCTTGGCAGGCAGGACTTCCTGAAAGCCACCAATCAGATGCTGCTCCTCCTCTTAATAGATTTTTCAGATAGTCAGCATTTAACCTCCTTCTCCCATTCATATACAAGCAACTCTTAACCATGAGGATTTTTCTGTACTTGAGATCTATGGGTATATCGTCTTGGTAAGATTTATTTCCTTTTCTCCACTCACCCTAGACCTCCAAGATCTTTGGTCTCTAGGACAGGGGAGCTAGGTAACTAGAGTTCAGCCTGGTTTTATGGTGCTACAAAGCTCATTTCTAAAACATATCCTCAGGAGGAAGTCAGAGCCAGAGGCAGAAAAACCCTGTGGTCTTGAAGGAGATTCAATCCAAAGATGGGCTCCCCACCCTCGGGGAACTTACAGACACACTTATAGAATAGATGTCCTTAGTTAAAAATATGTATTGTCTTTGCTTCTCTTGGGAATATAAGTAGACAGTAGAAAAAAACATATTCATTCTAATAGAAGTCAAACTTCCAGTTAATAATAGGAGTAGTCAACAAAAATTAAACATTAACAAGGGAAGTCTGCCAAAGGTTAATTCTGCCAAAACCAAAATGAAACAGTTTGCTCATTAGCAGAGCTTAAAATCTCCCCTATAGGTTTGAGGTGTTAACAATTGCAAGTTTTAAGTGCTAATTTGGTAGCAAATGTAGCAGATTTCTGCTTTCTCCTGGCTAATATTAAAAGTGAAATGTCAAATTATTCCCAACGTGTAGCTGCATCGAGTCCTAGGTTTTATATTTGTTAATAACTGCCAGAAAAAATGTGCCAGAGTCTTCCTACCCATGACTCTGACTCTTGAAATGGCAATGAAAAGACTCTTTGGAAGTTACTATTGTCAAGCCAGGCATTCTGGTATATGCCTGTATCCCCAGCACTCGAGAGACTGAGGTAGGGGGATCATTTTGAGCTCAAGGTCAACTTGGGCTACACAGTGAGTTCAAGACCAGGCTGATCTGTATAACATGACCCTGCCTCGGAGAAAGAAAGAAAGAAAAAAAAAAAAAAGTTTTTATTGCAGAACATTTCAAAGGCAGAGAAAACAATGACAATCTACATGCATACTACCCAGCTTCCACAGTTATCAAGTTACAGTCAATCTTGTTTTGTTTGTGCCGCCCATGTGTTCTAGCTGCCTCAAATTATTTTGGAATAAATTCTAGGCATCGAGTGATTTCCTCTCTCGATATTTCAGCACATCCATTCAAACATCACCCACTGTTAAATAGAACCACAACACTATCACACCTAAAAGTCATTCCTTACTGTAATAAAATATCAGGCCTGCATTCATATTTTCCAGTTTTCTTTCATATTTTAACTGTTTGAATTAGGATCCAAATAAAGCCCATTTATTGCCATTATTCTGTCCCTGTAGCCTCTTCATCTTTTAGTTCTCTATCTGCAGCTAAATTTTTTCCTTGCAACTTTTTGTTGGAGAAATGTAGTCATTTGTTCTGCAGTTTTCATTTTGGTTTGCTTTTTATTTAATCACATCAATTCAACCCCTCCCCTAATTTTAATAACTGAAAACAGATTAAGCTTTTCTTTTATTAACAATCAAGCGTGTTTGTTTGTGGAAATAACAACCTGAAATCTTGCTCATTGTTCACGAAATAGTAACTCTCATCACTGAACACCTTATGTTTGCTAAACATTTTAAATACTTTTTTAAAATTTTAGCCTCACAATAACCCCGGAAGGATGATGTAGTCTCATTTTACAGGAAGGTAAAGGTTTTACCCAGGGACACAGCGATCAAGAGCAGCTTCCCGGCTCTTTCTGCTTCTGTTTTCACGCACTGTAAGCCCCGAGGGAGATCAGTGTTAGAAAGTCGCTGCGCCCAGAGTTCTGGAACAAGGCTGATGGGAAGTTCTGTCCCTCCTTATGTCATTCAGTCACTTGTCCAGAGCGCAAGCCATGTCTGCTGCGTGCCCCAGACCAGGACATTCAGAACACTCATAAAGAATCAGAATCCATAGGGCCCACCAGATAGCTCGACGGACTAAAGTGCCTTTTTAGGCAGATGCAGGGACTGGGGTTGAATCCCCTGCATGCCGCGCCAGCCCCACCCCCCAGGGCGTGCTGAGACAGCAACGGAGACTGGGCATGGTGGTGCACACTTGTAATCCCAGAGCTTGGGAGGCTGAAAACAGGAGGCTCACTATAAGACTGATCTCTGTAGTGAGACCCTGTAGACCCTGTACTAAAATACATGTTAAAAAAAAAAAAAAAAATCAGAATCCTATTCTTTAAGAATGTATGACTCTAACCAGGTACAAATTGCCAAGAGAATACAAGATGCAGGGACATTAAAACAGCTAGAAGGAAGCAGTGTCACAAAGGCAATTTTGTAGGACCCAGTGAGCTCGTGCCAAGAGGCCCAGAGGGGTACATCAGCAGGGCCAGCGCAGGGGCATGCATGAGGAAAGCAGGGGTGATGAAGAGGTACAGAATGGAGGGAAAGGAAGAAACTCCTCATTCTGCTTCCTTCCTTGCCTACTTCAGGGGACGCAGCAACCCTGCCCCACCTTTGGTGAATTAAACAGTCTCCCGGTCCTTCCATGAACATCTACGGTTGGCTCAAGTCTCCCTCCCAGATCTTCCCTGCAGCTAGGCCGTGGTCAAAGACATTTCCCAACAATGTAGTGATGTCTTAGGAAGGCAGGCATGCCAGGGAGCGTCGCCAACCTGCAACTTTAAAATCTAAAGCGCTCCAAAATCTGTAAAGTTTGAGCCTTGATATAATGGTGTGTGTGGAAGCGTCCATCCCTGATCCCACAGGACAGGTCATGCTCAAAATGCAGATGTACTCAAAGCATGACATAAATCACTTTTGGGGTGTGTGTGTGTAAGATACATGTGAAACATTAAAGAATTTCATGCTTGAAATTTGGATTGTCTTCCCCAAATAGCTCATTAGGTATGTGCAAATATTCCATATTTTTTAAAATTCAAAGTACTTCAGGCTCCAAGCTTTTGGAATAAGGGATACTCAACCTGTAACCACTTCTGTAGTAGTTACTAATTCCTACAAAACAGGATTAAGTAATGGCAATAAAATGCATATGATGGTACCCACCACATATGAAAAGCTATAATATCATATTAATTTAATCAATAAAAGTAAATGAAATAGATAGCATCTGTTGAGTGCTTTCTGTACAAGCAATTTCAGCTTAGAGTATTAGTGTCATTAATCTTAGAATCACCCTAGGAGAAAGAAAGAAGAGCCTGTAATCCTTATTTTACAGGTGAACAGAGTCCAAAGAAAGATAACCAGATCCACAGCCTAGGCATGGTAGAGCACACAAGGGTGTGAGGCTGCCTGATTCCGCATTCTTTCTATGTACAATGAAAGCAGCAGTGTGCCAGTAGCCGAGTGTCTCTACCCTGCCACCAGCTGGAGACGTGCTTGGGGCTGTGTTCAGGGGATGCCAAGAGACACGCATGCTCTCTGGGGTGGCATTTTCACAGCCTGGGTCCCATAAGATGCAGGGTTTCTGCCCAGCAAGTCTCACTTCTCCTCCCTTTTCTGACCTTCTGAAAAAGGAAGACTCCGCACCTCAGAGCCAGTGAAGCTGTCGCAGCCTTTACCCTATGGAGGCCCAGAGCTGACCTAGACGCTGCAGACTGTAGTGGCGCCAGAACCTCAGCCCGTCTCTGGCTCCCGTAGGACACCTCAAACCTCACCTTTGTGTTTCTTGCAGTTATGTTTCGTCTCTATGATTCGGATGAAAACGGACTCCTGGACCAAACGGTAAGCTCTGACTCTGAATGGTCCTCTTGGATTTAGGCCAGGGGAGGGGAGAACAACCTGAGGACTCTCAGCACCATCTTTGCAGGGATTTCAGTGTCCCAAGTGTACTGAGCAGAACCCCTCACTTTCTGTTTCCAAAGAACCAGCCTTTCAGAGCACAGGCTGTGGCTGTCCTCACTCTAGAAGCCTAGTGTCATACAACCTGGGAATAAGGAAGTGTTTTACTCATTCTTCTAATTTAACTTCCCCATTTACAAACTTCCACTGAGATTTCCTGTTGGCTGCCCAGGACAAGAGGAGGGTCTCCAGGGAGGTAATGGGACCGAGGCAAAAAGCAGGGCGGTCACTCCTGGTAGGTACTGGCATCACCACTGGCTTCCTCTCCCTCCCATGGCTGAGCCTAGGAGGCTGGCTCTGTATGCTCTGCACACAAGGTCCCAGCCCACTGCACCTGCAGAAACCTGATGCCCACTTGCTCCTTCAGAAGGGACCCAAAGGGGAGAGAAAGAATAAAAAGGAAGCAGCCGAGGGGAGGAGGCACGAAGTCAGAGAGGCCTGTGGGCCTCACTTGTGGTGCCAGTCTGAGCTCATTAATGGAAAGCTTAGAGGTTGAAGTGGTGGGACTGAGTCAGACCACACGGAGGGAAAGGGGAAGGGGGAGGGGAAGAGGGGAGGAGGAGGAGGGGGAAGGTGAGGAGGAGGGGGAGGGGAAGGCAAGGAAGAGGAATTCTACTAGACCAGCTCCCTGTATATGTGGGTACCTTTATAAGATCCCTTTTACCACATGGCAGTCCCACAGATGAGACATTCAAGGGACCAACAAGAGAATCACTGACTCCAGCATTTGGTCAGCACTTGTATACTGAGTGTCTACCACATACATCAGGTGCTAAGCGTTGATAGCCGGACCACAGAATTCCCTTCCTCCACGTGATTTCCATTCTAGTTCAAACATGGACACTAAGCAGCATAGTGAAATAGGAGCTGGGTAGAGATGTGTGCAAAAAAGAAAGACAAAAGAGGGAAAGGAGGCATTGGGTGGAGTCTCGGCTTTAGCTAGTGTAGCTAAGAAAGGCGTCCCTTTAGAGACTAGAAGTAGGTGAGGGAGCAAGGGACAGAAGAAGTATGGAGTGCAAGGTGCTGAGGATTCCAGAGCATTAGTGGGGACCACATGCCTGGAGCATAACTGGAGATCAGATGAAGTCGGGGTGAGGAAGTGATAGGAGATAAGATCGGAGAAGCTAGGGGTGGGTATGGGGTGGGTGGGGATATGGCCAAGCACATGAAGCCTTATGGGTGATTGAGAAGGTGAGGACCACCAAAGAGTCTGAGCAGAAGAGTGACAAGGGTGACTCGCATTGTCATAGGATCACTCTGGCTGCAGTGTTGAGCATAGACCGAAGAATGCAGGCAGGAGTCCCAGTTAGGAGCTGTTGGCATAACCGTGGCATGGGATGCCAGTGACCTTGCACAGGGTGAAGGGATAGAGTGTGGTAAGAAGTGGCTGAGGCAACCTGGGTGAGCTGAAATGAGGCTTAAGAGAGTTACTCACGCAGTCTATCACCCAGTGTCCCTGACTAAAGGGCTCTCGCTGCTTCTTGAAAGCTCAGTGATGAGCAGCCAGCTGCTAGCTGGAGACAGCTATTGCACTGTTAAGAATGACAGCTGGGCGCCCTGCCCACATGCAAGACATTGCTCTGTTCACTAGGGCAGTTTTCACCACCAAACCTGCTGCTCCTTTCTCTTTTCCCAACCCAGCAGGGAGGCCCAAACAGGCTGATCCCAGAGTCCTTCATTTCCTCCATCCCTCGCTTCCTTCTGGCCCTGCGAGCTGACCAAACAAGCGCATGCCGCAGGCTTTGGAGTATTGGAGGGAAACATAACATTTCCCTAAGTTAGAATTTCTCCAAGTTAGAATTTCCCTTTTCCTACATTGTTTCTCATGAGGCAATTCTAAATATCTGTTCTGGACCAGCTCGTCTATTTTTCTGCCCACTTCCTTGTTTTTGTCTACTGCTACACCCTATACTTTTGGTGTGGATTATTAAATACAATTCTGTAACTGCCTCTCGGGTTTCTGCCTGCTGGTTTTGATCCCAGCTTTCTTCCTGGTGAAGGTAATACTCCTCAAGCTTGCTGCAGTCCATCCATCTGTCCATCCAGAGCACTTTTAAATAGTGCACACATGGGGGCTGGGAGATAGCTCAGGGGCATAAGCGCTGCCTGGCAAGCATGAGATCTTGAGTTTGATCCCCAGTACAAAAAAAAAAATATGCCCACATGCAAGATGCTAACTTTGACACCAAATACTCCCTGGTCTGATATGTTCCAGCTGGGCTTTCTGGGCACCCAGGGACACCCAACAAATCTGTGAGATTTTAAATGGAGCCTGCTTGCCTTGATAATGAAAGGCTCACTCATCCGACGAGCATGTGTATCACGCAGTTCCTATTTCCTACTCTTAGAGTCCTAGGCTCAGGGCTGGGTCATGGTACAAAGGGAGGAGGAGAAGCTGAGGAAAGGAATCCAGAACACCATGCCTGAGCTAGGACCCACACAGTAATCGAGAGCAACTGACCCCTGAGAGAGGTAGATGGAGCTTGAGTTGCTGGAGTCATGGGGGTAAGGACTAGCAGGAAAATGGGGGGAGAGACCACCATAGTTTGGAAGTGTCTGTCGGAGCTATGATGATGAAGAAGAAAGAGGAGGACTTTCTACGCTTTCCAAGGAAGCTGGGCCTGCGGAGGCCAGAGAAGGTCACTGTTGAGTGAGTTTTCTGAGCTCCTTGGCTAACCCACGCTCTGTGCTTCCCGTGGACATCTCTCTCTGCAGGGCTTGAGGGCCAAGGCACAAACAAGCACTGAGCTGGTCATGAAACATACCGCACCGGCTTCTCCTCCTACTGCGCCCTGCCTGGCTTCCCCCAGATTTATTTGTCCCCTCTTGCTACTTTCTAGGAAATGGATCGCATTGTCAACCAGATGCTCCACATTGCCCAGTACCTTCAGTGGGATCCCACCGAGCTCAGACCTGTGAGTTGCTGTGAGCATGGGGTGACTTCAGAAGGAGCATGAGACCCCAGTGGTGCGAGTGCTCCCCATATGGGTGCTCCCACGATCATCTTCCTACCTGCAGCCTCTTTGCGGTCCTCCCCTTGGCCTCTCACGATCTCTGATAGGAAAAATGTAGGCAGCACCACTAAAAAGCATAGAAATAACAGAAATCATAATCCACTTTAACCTTTCCAACAAAGCTAAAAGTCCATAACAGAAATTCATAGATCAAAGTATTCAGAGCCAGAAGCAATTCTGGAGTTCTTTCAATCACCTGATGATATGAATGACAATAATTACATGTTAGGACTCCAGTGCATCAGGTATTACATTAGGTAATTTATATACATGTTCTCTAATACTTATTACTCTGCTGCAAGAAGCAAAGCCATTTTCATTTCAGCAGCCAGAACCCAGAGTGCTGGGGTGACTCACCCGAGGCCACACGGCCGGGCCAGAGCTGAGTTGGACAGAGGGCCCTCGGGGCCTCACTTCTTGTCGAGGTCCTTGCTGTTCTAAATAAGAGGGCAAAGGGGGGAGCAAGAAAATGAATAATGTAGGAGCAGAGAGCAGGCAGAGGCCAGAAAGGAGGCAGGAAAAGTCAAGGGTAAAAAACAGACCGCTGCTCTTCTATTCCCCAGATATTAAAGGAGATGCTACAAGGGATGGACTACGACCGGGACGGCTTTGTGTCTCTACAGGAATGGGTCCACGGAGGGATGACCACCATTCCACTGCTGGTCCTTCTGGGGATGGATGAGGCCGTAAGTCAAGCTGGGCTCAGAGACCCCTCGCCATTCGGGCCTGGCGGGCTCCGTGCCCATAGCTCCGCTCTGCCCTGCGCTTCCCGGTGGGCATTCTCGCACCCGGGCGGGGCAAAGCTTTCCCAGGTCTCGCTCCTCTGACTTGCTCCTGTGTGGAAACACACATTTGCCAAACTGTCTAAATAAGAATACTATTCTACCTGTCGCGAGGGGACATACACACAATATTTGCCAATAAGAAGCTTATATTCAACCAAGCAAAGCTTAAGAGAAACCCCAAAGAAAATTCCCATGTTTTCAACAAATTAGGGTTTTAAATGTTAAGAGAATTGGGAAAAGAAGAAAGGAAGTATAGAAAGAGAAAAGGAAGAGGGAAGAGGGACAAATACTGATCTTTGGGGAGGGGATTTCATGAACCGTCTCTTATTTAACAATCAAAACAAACAGATAGGTATTTTTATTCTAATTTATACATATGAAGAGCTGAGGCATTGAACCTGAAGAGCAAAGGAGGAGCCAGGATTTGAACCTGCCTTTGTACCATCCCAAGCCCCGTGCTTTCTAACATCCTACACAAGACAAGCAGACCAGTGGGAAGAAATCTTGAAGGTGTTTGGCCTACTCCTGAAGAACATGTGAGATTAGGACATCCCATTCTTCTTATTTTTGAAATATTTTTATTTATTTATTGGTACAGGGTCTCACTACACAGCTTGGGCTCATAGCGATCCTCCTATCTCAACCTCCCCAGTGCTGGGATTACAGGCATGCACCACCATGCGTGGTTTTGGTGGCCGTGAGGTGCGTCCAGGGTTCTAGGGCCAGCACAGCATGCGGTACCAGGGATTGAACTCAGTTCCTTGTGCCTGCCAGGCAGGCGCTTAGACCACTGAGCTATCTCACCAGCCCAGGATATCCCATTCTTGGGAATAAAGACCAAGTGGAAAGACGGAGGCGGACATTTAATCTGCCTCTCAGGGTTGGGTGTGACTTGATGGGTAGGAGGTGGCAGAAGACAGGCCTAAGCAGGGAGAACACCTTGATCAAAGGCCCAGATGAAGGCAACTTTGGGGGGAATCTCCAAGTTAGAGATGAGAGGAGGGGAGATGTGTAAAGGCTTACAGTGAAATCCGTGGTTAGATCACACGTGCACCTGAGCCAGCCAGTTGCTGGATTTTCCACATACTTCCCAAGGGAACTAATTTCTCTGCAGGAGATAGGAAAATCATAAGCAGCAGAAGCACAAATGGTGGCATGAAGCGTTTACAAGGAGAGTCGCAGTGACAATACCTCTTTGAGAGAGAAACAGGAACAGGAAACAGGAGCTGGGCTAGCTTCCAGCAGACCCCTGTGTTCCAGATTTCCATCCAGCAGTTCTGCAGTTTGGGCCAGAGCTGAGCCCTTGTTCCCCAAACGCAAGATCTAGGACTCTGCACTCAGCTCCCAGCATGTCTGGCTCTTCTCAAGGGCCAAGTGGGATTCAGAGAGGAACACAACTGCCTCCTTAGGCCTTCGAACTGCCTGGAAGGTTTTAGCTAGAAATGCCTTCTGTGATCCCTGGGTCTGTCCTCTGCAGCCTGCAAATAGAGGCCCAGAGAAGTAAAGGACTTGCCCAAAGCTGCACAGCATATCCAGACTAGCAGCCATTCGTCGCATGTGGCAGCTTCAGTCCCCTCATTTGGTACAAGACCCTCTGTGAGCTAGGTGCTCACTCAGACAAGCAGGACAGACTCCTACAACCAACATCAACTCAAGATTACACTAGGACCAGAACAGCAGCATCTCTCCCAAATGCCAAATGTGCCCTGTAAGAAACTAATTTACATCAGAAAAGTAGAAAACAAAAATAAATGTAAATTTAGCTTTTATTACTCAAACAGCGAGGGACCTAGCTCAGTGACACAAGCACCTGCCTGGCAAGTACAAGGTCCTGAGTTTTATCCCTGGTCCAAAAAAAAACCTTGTTATTATTCAAGCACTTTATGCATCTGTTTTAAATAGGTATGAATAAGTGTTTAGCTTATAATATTTGAAATTTTAGAGAAAGCCTCCATCCATGTCCTATGGCTTGTTCGGCATTTTCAAAGCCCACGGGTGACCACTGCGAAATCTAGGAATCTCTAACTGGGATCTATTGGGCTGGCGAGACAGCTCAGCAGACTAACTGCCTGCTTAGGTAAGCACAGGGACTGCAGTTCAGTGCCAGGCACCACATACCATGCCGGCCGGCCCCAGGCACGCTGAGCTGACCACCACGACTGGAAAAACTGCAAACAGGAGGATTGCTATGAGTCCAGGCTGTGTGGGTGAGACCCTGGACCAAATACATAAAACAATAATAAATAAATAAATAAATAAATAAATAGGATCTATGCAAAATGATCTTTCTGATGAACCTGCAGCAGCAGCCCGAGACACGGTGTGCCTGTGGGAGATCCCGCCCACGCTGCAGCCTCGACTGTGCAGAGACAAAGGGGCCACATGATGGTGCTGTAACCCAAGCAGAAACGCTTCTTTAGCCCTTCCTGGTCCATTTGCTTCTCATAGCTATGAAAACAGTAAGAAACTGGAAGGCAGCTAATTGACCTAGCTCACTGAGGTATCTCCCGTTAAAAGGATAGTCCTTTGAGCTACAGAAAGCCATTCCGTTCATACAAGGAAACCCCTGTGCTAAGGAAGAGGGGCTTTAGCCTCCCCTCCCCCCCCCCCGGGTGACTGGTTATATAACTTCTCTGAGCCTTACCTGCCAACAGGGAATAAATCTACCTCCTGGCTTGCAAGCATGCGCTGTAATTATTTTTATGTTCCCCAGCACCTGGTATACAATAAGGATTTAACAAAAGCTTTCACTCACCACGTGTCTGGAAATGAAGAAGGAGGCGGGCTTGTATTATTTTGTTTCACTCTTACCACCCAAAACAAAAAATTCCTGGAGGTAGATGTTCGCCAAATGAACAAATCAGTCAGTCTTTTGGTAACTTGTTTTGTGAAGCAACAGATAAAAGGGTCTTTAATTTTATAGAGTTCAGGGAGAGATAGGCTCAGGGTGAAGGAAAGAGCTTCATCGGCCCTCGAAGGGAAGACCAGCGCTTGGATAAGAACATGGGCTCCTCCAGCAGGAAGGGCTGAGCTCGGGAGCAGGCCTGTGGTCAGCAGGGCCGAGCCCAAGGTGCCCCAGGCCCAGTAAGGACGGGCTTGGGCCGAGTACGCTGGACCCATCGCAGACCATGGGTCCTCATCACCTTCCTAGCATAATTTTCAGTGCCCTTTCAAGCCCGCCTGAGCATTCTGCTTGTGCTGGAGTCTATGAGAGAGGTGGAGGAATGGCATTTGCCAGGAGAAATGTTCCAAAGCCGCAGCTTCCAGTCAGGCTGGACTTCAGGATCCAGAAGGTGGGAGCTTCCCTTCCAGGGAAGGTGTGTTATTGTGTAAGGTGTGCTTTCCCTGGTAGGTGAGGATGATTTTACCTTTGAGCTCATCAGAAGAAAATGGTTTGATTCTGTCTCTGTCTCTCTGTTCACTACTTTGTGCACAGAGGGTTGGTACAAAGAGTACATGGTTTTCCTGATAATAGCTTTGGTACATGCCTACTGTAGAAAACTTGGCAACTACAGAAGAAAATAGAAATTAGAGAATAACATGAATGTGTGCAGCTGGGCAGGTAGCTCAGTGCAGAGTCTTCCCAGCATGCTGGAGGCCCTGGGTTCAATCTGAAAAAATAGTGCATAGTGTCAGCAGCTGCAGCTGATGCCTACTGACGGTGAAATCCTTTCCTTTGCAAAGGTATTGTTTAAATCTGCATTTATAACATAGCATACTTCACATTCTGACGTTTCCACTGAGCACTGTATCTTGACTAATCCCCACACCCTCAGATAATTTTAGAAGTATTTTTATTACCACCTAACATGAAGTCATATACGTGTGTCACAACTAACCTTTCAGTCATGTGCAGACCTTAGGCCATTTTTCATTGTTTTAAATAATTCTGGGTTAAATACTGGACAGAGCCAAAAAAAAAAGTTCATGGCTCTTAAAACTTATTTCTTTAGGATAGAGTCCAGGAAAGTGAGTTTGAAAGTCAAAGTGTATAAATATTTAGTGAATTTTTAAATAAACAAATGACAGACAGATGAGAGAAAAATTGCCGCTGTCCTCTATTCCTCTGCTTGCCTTGTGAAAGAAGGCTTTCACCCCTCCCACAGCCTTGCAGATATTCCCTGTTTTAGTACTTAGGAATTTTAGAAAACATAAACAACTTTCTTTGCATTTGTATTTTCCTTTTTCCAAGTAACTTGTTTTCTACACATGAGACGAGTGTGTTATTTAGAAAGAAAAAAGAAAGCATGCAGGGCAACCCCGGCTCCTCCTAGCTGGGGACGGCATCTTGGTCTCACTTCCCATCACCCCTACAGGGCTCCAAGGGAGACGGACTGCACGCCTGGACCCTGAAGCACTTTAAGAAGCCAACCTACTGCAACTTCTGCCACCTCATGCTGATGGGAGTTCGGAAGCAAGGCCTGTGCTGCGTCTGTGAGTGAACCTCCCTATGGTCCTCAGGCCCCAGCACAGTTTTGCCTTTCCTTGGGCTGGTAGAGTCATTCCTGGAAAACTCAGGTACTCTGCATCTGGGCGGGGGCCACCCATAGGGTTCCAGTGGCGGAGAATAAAGTGAAGTCTCCCTATCCCATCCTGGCTCTACCAAGTCGAATGGAAGATGTGAGTTTTGCTGGAGTCAGGGTGCAATGATCGCCTCGAAAAAGATGATTCAAGTATGCATAATTAAAGATTATCTCACTCATTTTAGTTGGGTTTTTGAGTCAGTGTTTATTTCAGGGGGGTCCAGTGGCCTCTTCTTTTTAATGAGCTAAGCAGCATACTCTATTCTATACTCTATGAATGTACTGGGAATTAAAATCATGCATTTGCCTCATTTCATAGTCTCATTTAGTAAAATCAAGGGGGGGAAGGAGGGGAAAAAACACAAGTGAGAGATAGGAGAAAAAGGAGAAAGGGACATTGAAAAGATAAACAGGAGAAGGAGATAGAGGGAAAGAGAAAGAGTGACCTAGGAAAGAAGGGGAGGCTCTGCTATCTGGGGACATACACTCATATCTGGGGACAATTTCCTGCCTGTTGGGGAACCACTGTGACAAGGTGGCACTGCAGAAGCTGAACTAGGGCTTAACTGGGGACTCTGCACAAGGAAAAACGGGGAGCAGCTGAATCTCCTGTAGGTGAAGCCAACTCCAGATGTCCCCTGCCCCTTCCCAGCAGCCCAGCAGGAAGCTCAGGCCTTGGCTAGGGTGGGAGGGTGGCTAGTGTCACCTGCAAGCAGCTTCCTTTGCTTCTTTTTTCTTTCTAGACTGTAAATACACTGTCCATGAGCGCTGTGTGTCCAAAAACATCCCTGCGTGTGTCAAAACATGCTCAAAAGCCAAAAGAAGTGGCGAGGTGGGTGACACCTGTTGCTGTTTTCTACCGCATGCTGCATGTGGGACAACACATCCATCACCACGGACTCTGAGGCAGACAAGGGCTTCAGGAGCTTTCTCTAGTCCCTTCTCTGCCTCGAGGACCACCCTTAAAGCATCCCATTCACTCACCCATCCATTCAGCATCCCAGAGCCCACTGTGTGCCAGGCACTGCCCCAGGGACACACAAGTCACATGAGATGATCCTGCTACTCAGGGCTGTGCAGTCTTCGGACAGACACAGGGGTACAAGCCAAATACAGACCAATGAGCTGCATGCTATCAGGATAGGGCTGTGCAGAATCGAGAGCTGAGGCAGGGAGGAGAAACCAGGGCAGGCTACACAAAGAAGGTGGCCTTTGAGTTGTGCCTGTGACCCGTGTCAGAAGGCTTTCACACGGCATCAAGGAGGACAAGGCACCCCAGGCAGAAGCTGCCCTGTGGGTAAAGGTGTGCAGATGTAGCTCGCTCGAGGTCCATTCTTACTTGGTTGTGGCAGGAAAGGTGCTCAGAAAGCAGTTCGGTCTGCCTGGTGGCACCTCAGGAGCCAAGTGGAGAAACTAGAAAGGGGTTTCTCTCACAGATGTGGGAAGCCCTGCGGAGCTTCTGGGCATGGGAGATGATGCCATTTGCAAACAAGCTGAATTGATCTGAGCACGGAGTAGAAGAGAAATAGAAGGAGAGAAACTCCACCAATATTTAAAGCCAACAGTGGTGCCGCCCCGGGGGCCCAGCTGGAGTGGTCTCTCCTCCTCCGCTATAGCAGTATCGTAACTGGCTTTGCATTGAGCATCTCTAGAGCTGGCCATGGAGCACTGTGACTGTCCCCTGTGGTTAAGGAAGAGAAGAAAAGGGAGGGTTTGGTGGGGAATTTGGAAGCACCAGCAGCACTGGTGATACAGATGCTGAGGCAGAAAGTGGAACAGGTAGGGAATGGCTCCCGGCTTCCATCCCGGCCACTGAGCGGTGCCATTCGCAGTCTAGAACGTCTATCCTTAAAATTAGGGCACCAGGACTTTGCATTGCAGCATGGGGAAGAGCCCATTAGGAATTGGAGTCAGGAGATGGTTAGCAGGTGAGAGTGGTCGCAGCCCACCACCCTGCAGAAACCTCCCAAGAAAGAGGAAGCTCTGAGGACTCGCATGCATGCCCGAGAGACACCGCACGGCCTGGCCCCCACGCCACCTACACCGCTCCATCCACCCCCTCCCGTGGCCATGCTTTCCACCGGCACACTCTGTGCCATCCAGGATCAGGTTCTGTGGCTCCTCTCTGAGTACCTGGCACACGGGGGGGGGGGTAGGCACACCCAACTTCTGAGCACGCGGGAGCAGCCCAGGCCCCGCATGATGGCCTCAGATCCCAGAGAGGCTGGGGAAGGATCACGGTGCTGAAAAGCCATCTTTGGTTAGAGTCAGAAGTCCCAGCTGCAGGCCCCTGCCTGGCCACTTAGAGCCTTGGCAGCTGGAGACGGTCGCTATCTTCCTGAAAGCCTCAGGTGAAAGAGAACGATAATTATCTCAGGCCAAATTCACCGTGGCCGCATAGTAGTCAAGTGAACTGACACGAAGTCTCTGTACCCTCCATCACGTGTGGCAAAGGGTGAGAAGCCACAAACCTCATAGGACATGTCCTTTGGAACAGTGACTCCTACCAAAAACTTTCCCAGGAGGGGAAGTTGCCCACAACTTAATTGCTGCATAATTTAAAACATTTCTTTTTAGCTACTGCAAACACGGATAAGATCATGCAAATTATTTCATGTTTTTAAAATTGTGCTCAGAGGTGAGCACTTCTAGTCATGCCCCCCAACCTTCCCTCCAGGGTCCACATCCACTTCTGGCTGCCATTCAGGTACCCTGATGAGATTTTTTAAAATTCTGCTGAGTTATGTGGGGAGAGAGCTGAAAGCCCCAGCTTCCAGTCAGTGGTGTCGTGGGTCAGTTTGTGTCACATGAGCTACACTGAGACATAGATACATGGCCTGCTGCCTGAGCTCACAGCCTGAATTGGTGGCATTTCTTGGCCCGGGAGCAGATAAAAACAGCTCTCCAGGAAGCAAGTATGAGAAGCACCCAGGGGCCCTCACTGACTTCTTTGCACTTTCTGTCTAAACTCCTTCCAGAGAGCTTCTGAACCTTGACCACGTGTTGTGACCTCCTGGAGCATGTTGGCAGATGTCAGGGATGCCCTGCCCCAGTTACCGCGGATGCCACCTACAGAGGCTCTAATTTATTCAGCAGGGAGTAGGGGTGGGCACTAGGACATTTAGAAAATCCCTAGATGATTTTAAGGAGCAGTGAAGACTGAGAAGGGGGACTGGAGCTACCCAGCAGTGCCTCCAAAGGGTGGTGACTGCCCCAGGGAGACCCGGAAACTAGCCCAGACAGCATGCCACTTTCCACAGGTGGGGGACTAAAGGTTCAGAGAGGCCCAGAACTGGCCAGAGGTCACCCAGCTATGAGGTGCAAGATCAATGACTCCAGTCACTGTGTTGACTTGCAGAAAAGCCCATCCCTGCAGGATTCTGCCAGGACAGACAGCAGGGCCGGCTGCCAGATGAGGGACCGCTGAGAGGCTTGCCTGGCAGCACGAGCAAGCAGCTCAGAATGCTGGCAGTGCGGTTTTGAGTCCACCTGGGTTAACACTCTGCTGCTTAGGCAGAGAAGGACCCAGCCTCCACTCAGCCGGCACTCAGTCGGACGCCGCCCTCTCTGGCCTTCCCGCTCCTGGGCTCCCACCAGACCTTTCTGCTGCCCTGGGCCCGGGGCTTGGTTCTGCTGCCTTCCCTGGTATCCTCCGCTTCCCTCCTGCAGGTGATGCAGCACGCGTGGGTAGAAGGGAACTCCTCCGTCAAGTGTGACCGGTGCCACAAAAGTATCAAGTGCTACCAGAGTGTCACCGCGCGGCACTGCGTGTGGTGCCGGATGACGGTGGGTTGGTGCCCAGGGTGGCCCCGCTTCTTTGCAGTGTGGGGTTTTGCACAAGCTGCGGCACAGAAACAGTACACGTCCTCTCGAAGAGCAAGAGAGAGCCCAGGAGCGAGGCGGGAGGTGCCCAGAGCGTGTGGGTCCCCACACCCACCTAACAGTACACCAGAGAGAGGACACCTCCACACCCCTAGGCACAGGGGGACGAGGGATGTTTATAGTGAGGCTGGCCAGACCCTGTGTCTAAGGCTCCAGAGGGACCGGCACCTGCCCTGAAGCCACACTTTTCATAGATCCCTCCCCATTGCCTGGCTCAGAGGCCTGGGCCTGCTGCCACCAACCACTGCACACAGTAGAGTCCACAGCACCTCAGGACACCAAGAGCCCCCAGCAGCCATAAGCTGTTCTCCCTTCCCTCCAAAGCCATGGTAGGGCCGTATCTCATCCCCCTGACCAGGTGCCAGCTCAGGAAAGACTGCAGAGCCCTCGAGATGTGGAAGTTGAGTCATGGAGCTGACCTGTGGCCTGTGACAGGTCTGCGCCCTCCCAGGCAGTAGATACCCAAGGGGGGCTCTGAAGTGGATGTGGGGGTGCCACAATGAAGGACCACCAGCCTGCTCATGACCATTCTGCTCCACAGGGAGCTCTTGGCCTCCCTCTTTGCCCGAGGCAGCTGCGGCATCCTCTCCGCACACATGCGCGCGCGCACACACACACACACACGCACGCACGCACGCACGCACAGTCACACACAGGGCAATCTGCCAGAGCCAGCAGTGCATCAGGATTTGGAGGCAGGAGACACCTTGCCTCCTTAGCAAACCTCTGGATCCTAATGCCTGATGCTCCTAGAGCTCTTCTGCTCACTGTCACCTCTGTTTTCTCCTTCAGTTTCACCGCAAATGTGAATTATCAACACTGTGTGACGGTGGGGAGCTCAGAGACCATATCTTGCTGCCCACCTCTATATGCCCCATCACCAGGGTAAGTGCTCCTGCCCCTGCTAGGGCTCTGGCTTCTCTGGGTTCACAGTTCAGGTATGAACAGTGTTCAAACCTTCACATCCACCCCAGGTTTCCCAGCATCTCCTGTGGTTTGTGTTTGGAAAAAAAAAAGGGTCAGTGCTGCACCAGCTAGACAGTGAGGGGAAGCTCTGAGGCCGTGCTTCTGACAGCTGTATCCCAGCGACCTGCACAGGACATGCACTGGTCCTGTGCACCTTGCAGGCTGGACCCAGGCAGGATGCCCAGACAGCGCCTCTGAGCAGTGAGGCCTCCAAGCGCCTCTCATCCCTGCCAACCCCCTTTCCAGCTCCATGCATGGAGCTCCTGTCCCTGGCTCCTGTGCAGGCTCAGCCCTGTTTGCAAATGAATGAATCAAAATTAAACTCCTCTTATCACCACCTGAATTTATTTCAGTCTCTTGTACTGACTGCTCTTTCAAACAAACGCCTCTCTCCTTTTTCCATCTTAAAAATACAGCCAAGTCTCATGGGCACCACTCATCCCACCCTGACTTGACTTTCCCCTTAACAATCTAAGAAAAATCACCACTTTGAAAAACTGACAGTATCTACCAAGAAGGGACTGTACAATCTCCCTAACACAATGATTCCCTGCCTATAGATCTAACTAAGAAATGCAAGCATTTATTGCACCAAAAGACATGTGCAAAAGCATTCGTAATAGTCAAAAACTGGAAGCAAGCTAGATGACCACACTAGGAGAATAAGTCAATGGAAGCATGTGATTTTTGTGTAATATAATGTATGTTGTAAGTGGAAAGAACAAACTATGCTTGTATATAAGTCAAAAGTCAAGAACAACCAGTGTGATGACCCACGCTGCACAAGCATCACATGGGCACATACATGCAAAAATTCAGCAACATGTACAACTTCAATTTGAGCATCTTATCAGATGCAATGTAAGCGTCAATGAAATAAACGACCCACCTTGGAAAAACACAATTAAGAACAATCACTTAATGTCATATCATTACATTATGTGAGCAGAACAGCTAAATGTAAGGCTTCGTTCTCACAGCTCAAGCTTCCTGATCAATGGACTAGATTTCTGCCAGTTTCCATACCACCCCCAATGTCCCTTGCCCTTGTAGGAGGATAAAGTCACAGCGAGTGATGACAGAGCCTGGAGGATCCTCGAGAAACTAGTAGCAGGGCACTCCCTTTTTGTGATCTAAAGTCCCTTTTTGAAAAGCAACTCATATTCTACAGCCTTTTAATCTCTTGGTCGCTACCTGCCACTTGGTTGTATCTGATCTCTGCCCATTTCGTAGGCTTTGGTTTTGCTTTGTGGTGGGCTTTGGTTGTGTTTTTCCTTTCAAAAGGTGCTTGTCTTTCCCCTCCTCTCACAGGACAGGCAAGGCGGGAAGTCCGATGGCAGCAGCGGGACAGCCAAGGGCGAACTTGTAATGCAGGTAGCGCGCGACCCACAGTCTGGTCATGCATTCTAAGGGGTCCAAGGCTGTGGAGCGGGGACGGGGGTTTGGGTTCGAAAGAAATGTGTCTCAACGTCTGCTTTCTCATCCGATCCATTCTGTCACACAGGAGGACACTTTATTCCGGCCTCTGGAGTTTCCTTTGACCGCCACACTGTAGGCAAGTGGTGAGAAGGGAGGTGGGCTGATCCCATCGCTGGTCCAATTGGCTTTATCACCTCTTGAGGAGCAAGTTGCATAAGACTTTGCTATGTGGACCTCCCAAACAGTAACAAAAGTGTGGCCTAAAATGAGACGGTGGGTTTCCCAAAACCTCGTCTTCCAAGACAAAGAAGCTAACCAGATCCAAAAGTGCTTCTTCATCCTTCAGTGTCTATTTCAATCCCAGGGAAGGCAGCCTGGTGAGGTACAAAGAATCCCAGAAAGGAGATGGGAAGCCAGGTCTTCCTTGGAGCCTCGGTTTCCAAGTTTGGAAAGGGGCCCGGCAACGCTCATCTTGCCCCCCTCTAGAGGTGCTGCAGGATTAACTGAGAGCTTGCGGATTTGTGTTTTGGTGGAAATTACATCACACATAACATAGGAGAACATGAAGAGGTGAGAAAGCGCTGAACATCTAGGGGGCCAATACATAAAAGGAAACATGCGTGCACATGTTCATGCACACACACACACACACACACACACACACACACACACGCACACACTCACGCACGCACCAGGTGTTAAAATCAAGCATTCCTTCTCTAGATTTTTCCATTTGAGCTCTGGAAAGCAGGCATCAGATACTGACCACAGAGCACAGCTGAACCTGTCACATTTTCACTCCGCCAGTGAGTCCATGACTTCAAGGGGCCCCGAGTAGGAGAGCTACACACACCATCACCCCATGCCTGCTGCATTTAAAGTCAAGTCAGTGCCTTGACACATCATCTGAGAAGGTACAAAATGAACAAACAAACAAGATCCACATGAACAACAACACAAACAACAAAAGAAGCCCCTGGAGATGCTACAAGCCTCAGGCACGATAGTCTTACTTGCACTGATCAAGGGACACCTTGTCGAGGAGACAGCTGAGGAACTGGCCCTGGAGGAGGAGAAGCTGTTGAGTTTGGCTTTTGCTTTTGTTTCTGTTTTTGTTTTTGCAAAGGACTTGCATAGAAGAAAGGGAGCGTTTCAGGAGAGAAGATGAAACCAGCACAAGCAGACACATAGGAGGGAGCTCAGGAACACACTCAGTGCAGCGTGTGATCAGCTAAGGGTCCGGAGGCAGCGACAGCAGTAGGACGGCACTAGACTGCGCAGGCCTGGGTGCCAGCTCAGAGATTTTATCATCAGGGCATCAGGGTGTCACTAAAGGTATATGGGCAGGAGAGGCAGTCCTGATATGTCTCTCCATAGAGGCAGCACACAGGGCTTCCTTGGGGATGAAAAGGCTCAGGAAGCAGAGGAAGAAACACTGCAAGCCATGAGTACTTGGCAGGCCAGGTCTTCCCTGGATGAATGAACACAGGGGCCCAGCAGAGCAGACCCATCTCCCAGCAGGGACAGATGAGTCAGACCGGGGCAGCTGACTCATGACTAAACAGAGAGAAGTGGGGACCAGCACACAGGAGGAAAATTGGTCTGGAAATGTGCATTTGGAAGATGCCAGGGTGGAAGTGATTCTTTGTTCCACAAGCAAGATTTTATGTCTGCACATGGCCACATGGCCATAGCTTCTAAGCTTGTGTTTTTAGTTGTGTCCCTCACAAAATTTGACCTTGTACTGAGGGCACAATGCCACACCATTGTTGAATGACTCAAAGCTCCAGTACCATTGCCCCATCTCTGACCCCAGCCTCCAACCCTCATTGCCATTAACACCCCGTAAAGGGCACTCGAGCTGGAAACACTCAGCTGCTTCACCCCTCAAAAATCTCAGCCAGCGGACCAAGACCCACCTCCCTGACCGCCTCTCCTCCATGCCTGGCCCCGGCTCCATCTACCTATCTGAATCTGTCTTACAGTCATCTCTTCTGATCTTCCTAGTGGACAAAGCAGAGCTGATGTCTTTTTCTTTTTCTTTTGCCTTTTAAGTATAAGATCATCCCCACCCCGGGTACTCACCCACTGCTGGTCTTGGTGAACCCTAAGAGTGGAGGGAGACAAGGAGAAAGGTAGGTTTTTCTCTCTTACAAAGTGGAAAGACCCTGGCCCCTCGTACTCCTGCGCCATAGAGGGAACTGTGTAACTAGGTACACAGGAGACCTGGGGGGACATCCCAGCACCACCCAGCCCAAGTGACTTGATGTCCTTGTGCCTCAGTTTCCCACTCTGGAAAATGAAATAGTATTTCTTCTAATAGGGTATTTTAAGAACTAGAATAGACCTGGTGCATAGCCCAGGCTGTGTCACATGAGCCACTGCAAAGGCTCATGGGAATTCAGAGGTGCTTATTCCTTCTTGGCCTCTGATATCTTTTCTTGGTTTAAGAGATATGGCTAGCTTCCACCGCTTAGGACGTTCTGGGTTGGCCCTGTTCCAGAGCACCTACCCCACTGGCTTCTTCTAAGTAGACTTGGAGGACAGAGAACCTAAAGGGCCCAAGTGACTTGCCCTTCTAAGTCTGTCCAGGGGTAGTAAGCAGGTGACACAGCAATCTGAAATCCTGGTTGAAAAAATAAAAAGAAATAAGGTAAAGTAAGAACTAGGGGATTCTCCCACTCATGTCCAAAGGCAGGATGCCCCTCCTGAACCAAGTGATTAATGTCTAGCTGAAGCCAAGAACCCATGCCAGGACATAGCCACGGCCTCTTAGATTCCCCCCACCACCTCCCCTGCCTTTCCTCAGGCCTTGGGATGCAGGGGCCTCGTCCCCGTTCCTTGAAGCTGTGGATCAGCCCAGAAGGGCACGGTCCCACTGCAGAGACCATCGTGACATTTGGTGCCAGGTCTCTGTGGGGAAGGAGCATTGGGAAGAAGCATCTGTTCTCTGGGGTTCTGCTCCTTGTGCCCTGCGGAGATGCAGCTCCTGTGGTGGGGGGCTACCTTCTCAGATAGTGGAGCGGCCTGACCAGGGCTGAGGACATGGACAATAGATCCGGGATATCAGAATCTGTGCGCAGTGCTTTCCTCTCTGCTTTCAATGAAACCACTGGGGAGGGGAAGTCCTCATGTGACTTCTCACAGTGACACTTTCCTCCCTGTCTTCCCTTTCCCTTCCTTTTCCCCTGTAGAATCCTTCGGAAATTCCACTACCTGCTCAACCCCAAACAAGTTTTCAACCTGGACAGTGGGGGACCTACTCCAGGGTATGAAGACAGTAATCTTTGCTACTCCTTTCCCCACCCTCCGAGGGAGAGGCATTCCTTCATGCTTTGTATGTTCCTTTCTTCTCTGGACTTGTCCCTCCTGCCATTTGCCACCTTGCTCTTTGCTGCACACCCCACACTGACTCCTGAAGACGCTGGGGAGTGCATCCCGATGGCTGTTGGAGAAGTAACTTTCTGTACCTCATCCTGCCCCCCCCCCAAAGAAAAAAGCTGTCACTTTTGTGTGGAAAACTGCATGTACTACGTGTATTTGATTGACAAAAAAAGGGCAAGCAGGGGGCCAGGGAGATGGCTCAGCAGAATAAGCACTTGCCTGGCAAGCACAAGGGCCTGAGTTCAATCCCTGGTTCCGCCAAAAGGGGGGGGGGCAGGCAAGTGACTTGCTTGAGGTTCTTGGCAAAGCTGTGTGAGCTGCTATCTTCATGGCTCACCATAAGACAGAGGAGAGCTACCCAGGGAGAGGAGGGTCGTGAGTCTCTGGGTCCTGCAGGCAAAGGTGGGAAGGACAGAGAGGGCGACAGACAGAGCTGGTGCCATGGTGCCATCTGCTGGCCAGTTCTGGCCCACGCTCCCCGCACAGGGTGGACCAGCCTCCGGCCTCCTGCGACTTAGGGAGCATTTGTCTTGTTGACTCAGGGAAATCTCTCCCAAGGCCTGGCACTAGTAACGATTCTAAAAATAGAAACCTGTCCTTATGTTGGTTGTCTGCAGCTGTTTACAGCAATGGCAGTGTAAGACCCTGCAAGGAGAAAGATAGAAGAATACGGTGTCACTACTTCTGCCATGATTTACCTGCAAAATTAACCTCAAAACACAGCCCACCTAGCCCTCTGTGCTCACTGCCATGGTCCTTTATGTGGTTCATTAATGGCCATGACCATTGTGTGACTGCCAGTTACAGCTGCTAGCACAGCCTTGGGCATGAGCAGCGGCCTACCAACACCTGGACCAGCTCACTCTTCTAGGCTATTTTCATACTTGGACCTGGTTCCCTAGTTTAACCTTTTTCTAAATTGCCATTAATGTAGATGACAAACCAGGACTGGCAAATCCTGAGTCTCTGATGTGCTTATCCATCTATGATCAGATAGGAAGCTTACTATATGACACATGGAAGATAGAGGGTATGAATTCACCTGCACAGGTGACATGGCTTGGGGGACCCCAAGGGTCTTCTCAGACCACCAGGCTGGGCAGACGGGAGCTCCTGACCTCCATGCAGCTTCCCAAGTCTCATGCTAAGGGGTCCACAGGGCACACTGCTTCTAAAGCAAGGGTTCGTCACCTCTATGTACCACAAACCCCTTGGCAGGCTGGTAGGCTTCTGGCCTTTTTTTTTTTTTTTTTTTTTTTTTTTTTTGAGACAGGGCCTTGCTATGCAGCTCAGGCTGGCTTTGAGCTCACTTTGTAGCCCACGCTTGTCTGGAACTCACAATCCTCCTGCCTCAGCCTCCCGAGTACTGGGATTACAGGCGTGTGCCACTATGCCTAGCTTAATAACCAACTTTTTTTTCCAGACCCCTTTAGAATATTTTCTAGTGAAAAAATGAAATAATGTGGGATTGCCAGGGAAATGAATTAGGTTGAAAACTAGTTATCAAAACATTAAAAACAAATTTGTGATATGGAAACGTATATGTTTTACCAATGCATTAAATAGCGGTAGTCATAGGCACATCTCATAAGTACTGCAAGATCAAAGCAGTGCTGAACATAAATGGTAGGATGCGGTGTGCTCCACAGTGGTAACAAAACATTAGCTGTGAGTCCCACGGCTGACAAAGTCACTGTATCGTTAATATCGCTGTCATCCGTTGCCTGCACTCATAGTGGGAAGGAGATGCGTAATTTCAGCAAGCGCTTAAGGAAGAGGTGAATGCAATGTTTTCTCCTGCAAGTTCTTGACGCTCTGAATTCCATCCACAAGTCCCTTGGAAGCTGATGGGTCCCATGGAGAGAAGGTGGAGGGCCCCGCTCCCAAGGCTGGAGGCTGGTGTGAAGCAGGATGCATGTTCTGTTTGACTCCGTGTCCATGGAAGAGTAAAGGAGGACCCAGCTCCTTCTGGGCATCTCGTTTAAAGGCTATAAAGACAGAGCAGGCAGGAGAACCCAAAGGGCATCAAAATATTGAGGCTTATCTGTATTGGTGTCAAAGTGGGCAAACTGTGGGTTCTAACTCCAAATAGTAGAGAATGACTGGAAGAGGGTTTTCTGTTCATGCCGAAGGTAGAGCCAGAGTCTCCTCTCATACACTGTGGCATGCAGGTGACTTCTGGTTTCAGAGCATTAAGTGGCCCTCTTGACCCCCTAAAGAATCAAGGTCTTAACATTCTCCCAGGGGACAGGGAGACGGACGGACTCAGTTCACAGCAGAAATCAGCCGCAGCCCAGTGACAAGGACATTGTGGCCTTTCTTCTACTTCACAGGCTGAACTTTTTCCGTGATACCCCAGACTTCCGCGTGCTGGCCTGTGGAGGGGACGGCACAGTCGGCTGGATTCTGGATTGCATCGGTAAGCACGCGTGGGGAGGGCCCTGCTTCTCTCTCCTGAGTATGTTCAAAGTCAGCCAAGGGCAACTAGACAGAAACAGTCATTTCTGTATCAGCCTTTGGATGAAATAGTTGCTTTGAATGGAAAAAAAAATCAATTAACAGAAAGATTCCTATAGGTACAGCAATAGCAGTTTTGTGTCAAGTCTTGCCTCTGTTGTGGCCAGAGCTAGAACAGTAGCAGAACTGACAGGGGTGAGAGCATGGAAGGGCAGGAGAGGGACTCAGGGTAGACCCAGGGAGGAGAGAAGGCCGAGAACTGAGCACAGATGCCCAGCCCTGGGCCGCCCTCGGGAGAACACCTGGAGTAGTCCTGAGAGCACATCTGCAAAGTGCAAGCAAAGCAAGGCCAGCCTGGCCCAAGTCCCACACACCTGGATCAGAAGGGCAGCAGGAGAAGCCGCACCCTGAGCTCCCCCCAGCCTGGACCTGCAGGCCCTTGCACATGTCACACCCAGGCAGTGGAGGGCGGGCTGTGAAAGCTTGAGAAGAGCTCTCCCGAAATCTACAGACCGAGGTAAACACTGTGGAACTCAGGCCTGGAAAGGATGCACTGGGGAGAGGGGGGTCACCAAGTTCAGAGGGGCCCCAAACCCGTGAACCCCAGCTGCTACCTGGGCAGCTGTCTGTGCTAAGCCCTCCTGGAGTCCTGGGGTACTGCAGTGAGCACATGGGTGAGACCCGGCCCTGATGGAGCTTACCGCCAGCTCAAGAGCTAGGCAAGAAGAAAGAGAGAGAGGAGGACAGACAGACAGACAGACAGACAGACAGACAGACAGACAAGGAAGGGAGAGGGGGAAAAAAAAGGAAGGAAGAGGGACAGGTAAGGAGGGAGGAGGGAGAGAGACAAGAAGAAAGATGGTATATACAGAATGCCAGAGGACGGTTTCAAACCTATTACAGTGAAGGGCCAGTAGAAGCCAGGCAGGAAGTGGGCAGACCTAAAAGCCTTCAGAGGGAGGAAGAAGTTGTTTGCAGGAGACCTGGAGGAAGGCCGAGCTGAAGGAAGAACAGCCCAGGGTGGAAGAACAGCAAGTGCAAAGGTCGAGGAAGGAGCGGGCCGGGTAAGGAAGGCCGAGCAGAGAGGCCGAGCAGAGCACAAGCAAGGGACATCCGCAGGAGAAGCTGAGGTACCGCCGGGTGGTGAGGACATTACGCAGACCCTGGCTTCCTGCTGGGAGAACCCACCACGTCAGCAGAGGAGGAGCACTGCAGACCAAGAGACAAGAGCAGAAGCAGGAGAGCTGGTAGGAGGCCGGGCCGGATCTAGCCGTCCAGGGGCGAGGTGATCGGGACTGGGCCACAGCAGAAACCACGGACGGGAGAAGCACCCGATTCTGGACATCTCTGGAGGTGGAGCCAGCAGGATTCTGAGAGCCCGGATGTGGGAGTGGAAAGGACCAGAGAAGTCATGCGTGGGCCAGGGCCAGACCTGGGCTGGGCAGGAAAGGCGAAGCCCAGGGCCCACGTAGACCTGCAGGAGGGGTTGGGGTGCATCTGCCAATGCTGCTCCCCCAGTGCCTTGGTTTCCATGGACACAGTCTCGCCTGCAGCCGCCCATGCGCTCCTCTCACTGCTCAGTCGCTGTAGCTGGAGGCCAGGGAGCGCCGGGGCAGAGGAGCAGCGAAAGGGCAGGCGTGTGGGCTGCTTGCTGGTCCCCTCTCCCTCCACTCCCTTCGCGTGGTGAGAAGTGCCCTGATGCTCACCCGCAGAGAACACATGTGGCAGAAGCCGCTCGAAGCAGAAAAAAGACCAAAGCCATGGAAGCCACATCAGGTTGTTTCCCACAGTCAAGTGGCTCTAGGAGAGAACGCAGAGATATACCGACTAACCACACGGTACGTCGCTCGTTCACTCAACACACATTCAGGCGAAAGTCCACACCACAGTCCTGGCCGCCTGGTTGCAGGCCTCTCTGCGCCGCACCCGAATGACAGAGTGACCGTGGATCGGTGATGCATGTCCAGCATATCAGCAGCTTCCCCTTCGGCTTAGGATGAAGTCAGAATCCTTCAAATGACCTTGAGGGCAGGGAGCACAGCCAGTCTCCGGCCTTCTGTCACCCCTCCAGTCTGCTACCCTGGCCTCTGGCCATCGGCCCTCCCCAGTCTGCACCCCACCCAGGGCCTTTGCCCTGGGTCCCCGTCTAGAATGCTCCCCACCCTTGGCTCAGCTCCTTCCCAGCCTAGATGAATATGAGAGGAGGCGCAGGCAGTAGATCCGTGGCCGTGGCCGCCTGACTATGGGGCTCCGCAAGAACCCGAGCCGTAGCTCTTTGCCCACATCCAGGGTGCAGCAGCTCACAGAGCATCCGGCAAACAGCAGGACTCTGCCCTGGAGTACAAGACCTCACCCCCATCCTGGAGGCTGCTCTCCATTCAGGAAACTAGCAGACAGCTCTGAGCCAGTGTGTGATGAGATCACACTGGCTTAAAGACATACTTCGGAGAGGAGCCAGGTCCAGACGGGGCTGCTGGGGAGGGCGTCCCCAAGGTGGCGGCTGAGCTAAGCTGCAGACAGCCTTGTGATTTAGGGAGGTGAACCCCACAGGTTGGCTGACCCAGAGGGGGAAGCTGATGAGTCCAGGGAGGAAGGCAGAGCCCCGGGGCACCGGCAGAAGCGCAGCAGAGCCCTAATGCTGTGTGTCCATGCTCCGAGCCTCAGCATCAGCCCCTGGTAGAAATGGGAGAATGCGCTCAGCCCGATGGGTAGACCTGTGCCCTAAGAGGGCAGACAGGAGGCTGCCACAGTGGTGGCAATGGGGAGCGGTCACACCTACCCGTGGTTCATCCATGAGGATGGTGAACACGGACTGCATGGAGATCCCCAAAGAAGACCGTACACAGGCAGCGATGTGTGCACAGAGAGAGTGAGGAGGAGTAACACAGGTGCCAGAGAGGCCTCTAGGTGCAGCGCATGAGGATGGCTGGTGAGGGGCACCACCGCGGAAGCAGCAGATACAGACACACTCCTTGTAGGCAGCGAAAACAGCATATGCAAAGGCCAGAGGCCGAAACTGGAGTCCCGAGGCCTGCTGCACTGCTCACTGCCTCAGGTTGTCCAGGGCTGATCTCAGCCAGAGCCGTGTGTGTGCTCTGTCGCTGCCCACACGGAGCAGACACCCTAGGGGGCCTGTGAGCTCCGCCTGCGCCAGGACAGGCCTAGCTCGAGCCTCACCTGCTGGCTCCTGCAGCTTCCCTTACTCCCCAACCATGTCGCTCACACCCACGGTAGCCACGAACTCAGAGGTGCACAGAAGTGCGCCCACCCCGGGTGCTATACTGTCTTCTCCAGCCATCCCTGGTGGACGGCTTGTGGCTGTAGACCTTCAGCCAGAATTCTCTGATGCTTCTGTCTACTACTTGTCCAAAACCATCCAGGGGAGAAAAGAGTAGGAACCCATGTACCTGCAATTCTGGGAAGTGATGAAAATAATAAGCTGGAGAGAACTACAGGAGGTTGTGCTTATTTAACACAACCTTAATTTTAAAAATCTTTTAGATCTGAATAGCTTTAAGCAAGCATTTTGAGTTCTCCAAAAGCTTCACCATTGCTTAATGTTCAGTGGTTTTGACACACCAGTTTTACTAATCTCATCTAGGCCCCTGAATAGACAGACAGATAGATAAATAGATAGATGCTCTAGGTTTGGGTTCTGGCTCTAGAATTGTTTCCCCTTGATGAACCTTTTTGTCTTCATCTATGGGGAGAAGAATATGCTGCAGATTTGGTCCAAGAGGCAAATAGGAGCTTCTTTTACTAATGATAAAACCATGCCAACTGAAAGAACAGAATTAGGATGAAATCTGGATAAACAGGTGTGTGTCACAGGGAGACAGATTTAGCTCAATCTGCAGTACGAGTTGACAGAATTGGCACACCTTGTGGTGGATAACACACTGCAGATGGAATAATGGCTTTGGAGGTAGTGTGTCCTCCACCGCCAGAGGTATTCAACCAACAGATGCTTCACTGGGATTCAAGATCAGACCAGGGACAAGAGGTTAGCCCAGGATCTGTAATCCCGTGGCACTGGGGTCTCTCCTCCTTTGTGTTGGTTGCAGACAAGGCCAACCTGACAAAGCATCCACCTGTGGCTGTCCTGCCTCTTGGAACAGGAAATGACCTGGCGCGGTGTCTCCGCTGGGGTGGAGGTGAGTCGGCAGGGGTGTGGAGCCACCCTGGGGGCAAGTCCTCAGGCTTCCTGGCGCTAGGTGGCACTGACTCTTCTGTGAACCACATCCCAAGGAGTAGTACTCAGTGAAAGTCATATCTGTGACCCTTCCCCTGCCCACTGGTCTACAACGGGTCTGGTACAGGGGCCTCCTGCTCTCCCTCCCCATACCTACTATCATCCTAGAACCAGCAGCTCAAAACCCACCTTCCCCAGTAAAACATAATTGTCAACTTTAGGGTAAACACCAAATCTCATCCGTTCCCTCCCCAGGTCTCATCCCAATAGGGAGCTCTTGTTGGTATTTTCTATATGAAATTTTCCCCTTTCCAAAATTAATGATCTTGTGACTTAAAGTGAAGAATACAGACCAAAATGTCACATCACCAGTCACTCAGTCACTAGGGACTTGCAGATTACCCCAAGCTCCCAGGGTTCTGGGCTCCCTTTCTAGAATTTTCCCCAGGGTTGGAATGCAGAATGATAACCAGCTTACCATACAAGGGGTGCAAACTAAGGACTTTGCAAATGGTGGTAGACCCTATGGAGCCCAGCACAACACAGAGTAGGCAGATGGGACTGGCAGCAGAAGAGGGGTGGGGGATCCTGATGGCTGACGAAGTCGGAGAGCGATTCAGGAGCAGATAGGGAAGTGTTGTGTTCAGAGATTAGTTCTTGCTTGGTGGGCAGGTTCAGAGGAAGCAGAAGCCAGTCCCAGGAGCAGCATCTTCACGTTCTACCTACCACGCTACCACACCATTTCCTACATGTCAGCAGCCTGGAATGGACCTGCTGTCTCCCACTCACCGCTCCACAGCCATCTAAGCTATCAGTTCTCCAGGGCCTGCCATCAGCCAGCATCGACCCTCACCTCCATCCCATACTCCTTGGCTCCCCATTACCCTGGCTTCTTCCTAGTCAGTTTCTATTGTCCTCCCCTTCTCTGTGGTTCAGGAAACCTAAGGGTCTGCAGCCCACAGACACGCTAGAGCGTCTCCTGGGCACAGGCGTTCATGGGGCTTCCTGTCCTGACAGCTACCTGCGCAAATACAATGCCACCCTCCACAGGTTATGAAGGGGGCAGCTTGACAAAAATCCTCAAGGACATTGAGCAGAGCCCCTTGGTGATGCTGGACCGCTGGCATCTGGAAGTCATCCCCAGAGAGGAGGTGGAGAATGGAGACCAGGTCCCCTACAGCATCATGAACAACTATTTCTCCATCGGCGTGGTGAGTTGATCTGAGGCCACCACTCTGCATGACACCAAAGGGCCCAAAAGGGTTCCAGGCATCCATTGTCACCCCTAGGCCCTATACTGCCTCTCCTGACTGCATCCAGCCCTGACCTGGGTGTAAGCAGCCGTGATTCTGGCTCAGGTGGGAACACTGATTCCACCACACCTTCCCCCTTGATGATGGAAGAAACTCCCTCCCTTATAATGTTAGCTAACACTAGAATAGACCAGAAGCTTTTCAGAAGACTTACATATCTTTGGGGGTAATTAGAAGCAGTAAAGAAAATCGGCACCAAGAAATAACCAAGGGGCAAGGACAGGAGAAAACTTTCATAAGCTTCAGGAACGGAGGATTCTGAGTCTCAGGGAAGCCATGTGGTGACACGTGGCCTGTCACATGGCTTGGCAACTCTGCACATACAGTTCCTTCCTCTCCTCAGCCCACACATGCCAACTGTTTCCTAAGCTTCTGGGGTACATCTCCTGGAGCTGCCCCTACTGAGGCTGCCCATGGTGCTCCCCTGTATCTTCAACGAACAGTGTACTCTGCCCTTGATTAAATGATGGGGTTTAATGTGCCTGATTCACTGCATTCACACACGAGAGAGAGAGAGAGAGAGAGAGAGAGAGAGAGAGAGAGAGAGAGAGAGAGCTGCCTCTCTTGTGTCCATACCCCCTAGCACAGTTAGTGCAGCTCAGTGGACTCTGGCATCAAACTCAGTTTCCAGCTCAAAGAGAACTGAGTGGATCCTGCTTCCTCAGCTGTTAGGGACAGGATGAGGAGCAGGGGCAGTGGCAACAGTCACAGCCATAAGTAGAGCTGGGGCTTGAGAAGGTGGCATAGTGAAGACACTGGTACCGACGGAGCACTTCCTGTGTGCCTGCTGCTGGGGGAGGTTCCACCTGTCCTAGGCCTCGCAGGAGCCCTGCGGACACCAGGGGCTGTGCCGTGCCCATCTTACAGAAGAGGCCTCAGGACGCTAGATTCCTCAGAGCAAAAACGAGGACAGCTGTCCCTTACCCCGCAGCCGGCTCTTCCCTGCTTCCTTGTCTTTGCAGTTTCATCACCCAGTTTCATGGCCACACAGGTCTGCCAGGCCAATCCTCTGGCCCGAGGCTGCGAGACACATGACTGCCTCCGCCATCCCCACCTGTGCCTCTTTTGAAAGAGCTTGGGGTGGGTGACAGCTAGCTGGAGGAGATAGCCTTAAGGAAAGGGTTTTGTTTTTTTAACAAGGCTAAAAACAGAAGCATGGGATAGCCTAAAAATAATGCCTTATATTTACAGAAGGATTTAAAATTTACCATACGTGCAGGCATTTTCAGTTCCATTGTTGCTGCTGCTGCTGTGGTGGTAGTGGTGTTGGTGGTGATGGTGGTGTGGTAGTGGTGGTACTGGAGATTTAGTCCAGGGAGCACTGAGCTACATCTTGACATTTTAAAATTTTATTTTGAGACAAAATGTCACTTAAGTTGCCAGGCTGGCTTCAAACTTGTTCTGCCTCAGCCTCCTGATTAGCTGGGACCACAGGCGTGCACCGGTATACCCAGCCTGGTTGTTCTTATTCTGATGACTACATTGAAATACAGTATTATCTCTCTGTATGAGTGAGGAAACAGAGATTTGGCTTTAGGGATGTGCCCTATTTTCTCCTAAGCCAATGCTCTTTCTTATGACTGAAACAGAAGAGAAAGAGATTGCTGAGTCAGGTTCAGAAAGGAGGGAGGAGGTAAACTGGAAGCAAGTTTAAGTGTTCCTGCTTCCCAGGCTGGCTTATGCCCACAGGCCATCGCGGTGCTTGGGGACAGCTTTCCCCAGGTTCTCCTGCCAGATGGATACAGAACTCTTCCGTCCTCTTCCAGCTCCAAGATTCCTCCCCTTTTCAGACCATCTGTCCACACTCCACTTCCCCAAGAAGGAGCCCTACAACCTGGCACTCAAGAGGCACCTAGAGCGGGGGCTGCCCCTCATTGGTTCTAGCAACCCCTGTGTGTTTTTCCTGGAGTAACCAGGGTGCTCACGTGGACCCTGTACCCACAGCACACTGGACCCAGTCTGCCTGGGGGCAGATGCATCACAGGTTTGTGCACTGTAACAAGGAACTGTAGCTTTGTGAGCCCCAGAACACTAGTGAGCAGTGGGCCTGGAATCATCCTGTGGAGCTTTCAGGCCAGCCGCCGTGGCCTCTGCACAACCCCCTACACCTTCGTGTTGCCAAAAGCAACAGGCGTAGGCGAGTCTCAAAACAGCGTCCAGCGGCCCTTCCCAGGCTCCTTCTCAGAAATGCACATTTCATCCCACCACCACTGTATTGCTTCTATCTGGCTCAGCCAATCCCCAATCCACAGGGCCTGGGAACGTGTATTTTTAACCAGCCTCTGGGACCATTCTGATGCAGATGCTCCTGAAGTGTTCAGGGCAAAGAAAAGCCACTAGAGTAGAAAGGAATGTTTAAAGACATGGGTCTTCCCAACCAGAGGAAAGGTGGAAAGGAAGGGAGAGCCAGGCGGTCCTCCCAGCGGTGGACGGCATCGGGGCTGCAGGTAGAGACTTCAGCCCTGACCTTCCCTGCCCTAACACACTCAGATCTAGCTGACAGAAGCAGCTGACTCCCCACACTTCCCTGTCTCTCTGCACAGTGCCAAAGGAAGGCAGCAGTCTCACTATTTACTGACTAAATGGATGTCCACGCCAAAGAAGCAAGGGACAACCACCTCTCAGGGAGACATCCCGACCCTAAGCCCAAGAGCCGTGGTTCCTGGGCCAGTAACCATGGGTCTGATTTGTTCTTGCAGGTAGAAGAAAGAAAAGAATGGAGGGAGCTAGAAAGGAATGGAGGAGGGAGCTGTCCCCAAGGAAATACATAGAAACAGAAGCGCTATTAGCTTCAGTGGCCCAAATATGTATCTGCCCTGGGCTGACCTATAATATTCTGACCTAAGCCAGGAGTAATGGTGCATGACTATAATGGCAACACTTAGGAGGCTGAGGCAGAAAGATCATCATGAGTTTGAGACCAGCCTGGGCTACATAATGAGTTTAAGGCCAGCCTGAACTACACAGTAAGACTCTGTCTCAAAAAATAATAATAATATTCCAATCCACTTTCTTTCAAATTATAAAGAACTTCACAATATCTTCGTGATTCTTTCCATCTACCTTTAGCATATGCGTATTTAATACTGTTGTCCAAAGGGCTAAGGAACCAGGACTGTGCTTTTATCTCATTGTACACCCACAGCCTTCTCGCAATAATGTGTCTGCAGGGTTTGTGTGTTCGCTCTTTAAAAATTGGAAGGAGAAAAGCTTGATAAAATAAGTAACCAAAACGCACCCCTGACAGAGTGTAGGGCTGACATTTGCAGAAGGTCTTGCTCCCTATGACTTCCCAAGCTTTGTATGAGAAGGAGGTATGTAAACCAACCTAGTTTCGCTTCCTTATTGTGATTAAATAGAGTCAGAGTCCTTGGCAAAGAGATCCCTGCATTCTCGGCCTCTTCTGAAGGTCTTATTGATACAATGGCTGCTGCTTTGCATTTATAAAGATGACACTATTGACCACTGCTGGGGAGCCTCTGGGAGCTGTGGACGGAGGTTTGCCCTGATTCAGGGACTCAGGTCCTTCCAGGGCCACCAGAGCCCACTTAATAGAGGATGAAGCAAGACAGAGTCTCCCGACCTAGCCACAGAGAGGTGATGACTGCACTGCCACCGGCCCCCACCCTGTGCAGCTTTCCCCGTGAAGACTTAAGAGAGCGGGCCTTATCTCTCCTTCTGAGACTGCGCGCTGGCACGAGATGTGAAACATAGTCGCATCCAGGATGTCACTTCCTCTGACTTCTCTGGCTTCCTCCTCTTTGCTCTCTATTTTTGAATTAGCAGAAATGTCACGCTGGCCAGGTATCAGTGACAGGAAGCTTGGGACTACAAAATAATTCCTGGAGAATGTGTAACGCTGACCTTCTTACAGGCTCCGCTTTCACTTAGGCTTGGCAGGAGAGGTGAACAGCTCAACCCTTTGATTCAGTGAAAGCTGTTTCCGATGCTACCGAGCCTGGGGGTATGGAGAGGTCACAGTCGTGGAACGCCTGATCCGGGCACCACTGGCCACCTTAGTGGTGGTTGTCAGGGTTCACAGGCTGGGTTTCCCACAGTGACAAGCCTCATACCCCTTAGGGAACTTGTCGACAAGACATCCTTTCCCTGCAAACGTTCCATTTCTGTTCACATCAAGTTCTTACCTGTCGCCTATGAAGGCAAAGGACAGTGGGACTCACCAAAGAGTGCCTTGCACAAAGGGTTTACGTTCTTTTCCATTTCCCCATGTGCCATTGGTTTGTAGAATACTCCAGGTTACAAGTAACCTATGCCATTTCCTTCCTTCTTTTTATTCCCATAAGTAGACAAAATGACCTAGCCCTGCATTTGTCTAATATGTAGCCATGAGCCACACATAGCTGTCATATCCTTGAAATGAGCTTGTCTCAATGAAGTGTACTGGGCCAGGGAGATAGCTCAGTGGAATAAGTGCTGACCTGCCTAGCAGGTGCAAGGTCTTGAGTTCTATCCCTGGTACCACAATAAATAAAGAAATAAACAAATAAATAAATAAAAAGAAGTGTACTATAAGCATAAATATACATCAGATGCCAAAAATGTGATGTGAAGAAAAGATTTGAAAATATCCCTATAATTTTCATATTGATTATACAAAGAAGAAACGATAATATTTGCAGCATGTCATCAATATAGAATATTAGAATTGATTTCACTTTCCTCCTTTTTCCAACCAGTAACTAAAGGTTACTAGAAAATTTTAAGTTACATATATGATATATACTATATTTCTACTAGCCCTGGCCCACACATTCCAATACCTCAGAGTCTAAATCACAACTTGGAAAAGGCCCCAAATTCTTTGTCCAACTATTGCTTAGCGTTTTGGTCTAGCTCTACATCCATACCTTTCTTTATCTCTTCTTCTCCCCACACAGCAGAGAAAATGCTCCAGATAGTGAGGCCATCCGAAATGCCATCATCACTTTCATGGGTCTCTTCACCCTGCCCCTTCCAAAAGGAAGTGTCAATTAGCTGTAATCATCACTAAGACAGCATTTGGACCGCTACCGCGGTTTCCAAAAATTCAAATGAAATCCCAGTGGATTGTAAACATGCCCAAGTCAGTGCTGGACACAGAGATGCTCAAGAGGGTGAATCTTGACTCTATTTTTAATCCCGAGGTAGAAAAATAAGCCAGAGTCGTTACCATCACTGCCTTCTCAGAATTTAACTACAAAGAAGCTACTTAGCTGGCACTGTCTCTCTCTCTCTGTCTCTCTCTCTCTCTGTCTCTGTCTCTGTCTCTCTCTCTCTCTCTCTCTCTCTCTGTCTCTGTCTCTCTCTGTCTCTGTCTCTCTCTGTTTCTTTCTATCTCTCTGTCTCTCTCTCTCCTTTGTCTTTCTATCTCTGTCATCTGTCTCTATCTCGTGTGTGTGTGTGTGTGTGTGTGTGTGTGTGTGTGATCTCTCCTTTGTGTATCTGCCAAGGGATTGCACTGTCAAAATAGGAACCACATGCTAAACTAATAATACTGTAAAGGCTAGTCTTTGGGGAAAGAAGCAGTGCAAAACCAGTTATGGAAAAACCAAGGACAATCCGAGCTGTGTGGAGGGAGGGAACTGTGAGATCACCCACAGAACTGAAAACCAGGAGCCAGTCGCGCTGAACAGGGGCAGGAGCAGCGAAGTACGGACTGTGCCAGGCTATGCAGGATCACTTTCTTCTTTTCTTTCTTTTCCTGACTGAAGAAAATTAGTGCTTCAAAGGAACACAAGTAGATAGAATGTTTTATTGAATATGAGAGAAGCATTTGACAGATGTCTCATCCATTTTACTGAGCATGTGCACCAAAATTCACCCAGAATGGGAGAAGTGGGCACCCTCTGGGGGAATGAGGGGCACCCTGGGATGTGTGTGCTTCCCACCCAGTGTCCACAGGGGTGCCTCACCCACCTCATCAACTCATGATGTGTCTTAAATTAAAAAATAAACCAGTAACTAAAGGTTAATTGCTAAACTCCCCAGATGTCACTTTAGCGAGGAATATTTGCCTACCACAAAGCCGACTGTAATCCCATCATCCTCTTGACTTGCCCTTCTTACCTCCAACTGGGGGCTGCTGCTGGAGTCCTCCTGTCCCAAGTGCGATTGAGCACACACGACACATGCTCAACCTTGCTTCTTCCCTAACCTATGCCTCTTGGTGTTGAAAGCAAAGCAACTGTCAGCATTGAGAAATGTTCCTTTGTAGAGTTGCCTTATCAAGAAATGGAATATGAGGGGGTGGACTGGGGAGATAGCTCAACAGTCTAAGCACCTGCCTGGCAAGTGCAAGGACCTGGGTTCAATCCCCGGTACCACATGCTGTGCTGGCCCCAGAATCTGGGATGTGGTAGTACATGCCTGTAATCCTAGTGCTAGGGAGGCTGAGACAGGAGGATCACTACGAGTCCCAGCTGCTTAGTTAGACACTGTACCAAATAGATAGATAGATAGATAGATAGATAGATAGATAGATAGATAGACAGACAGACAGACAGACAGACAGACAGACAGATGGATAGTTAGATGATTTTCTTAAAAAATAAATGGAATATTCTTTAGCTGGAAATCTGCTACATGGGATTCTAACATCTTTAACTACATGTTCCAATACATGTGTTTCTGCATTTATTTTGCTTCCTGACCAAACCTGAGTAGGCAGCTCTTTAGTTTTTGCATGGACCACAACGCCAGTCACTTCTCCTGTTTATTTCTGAAACCCAGCATCAGCACCCAGAGTACCAGCGTGAGGCCTGAGCCTTGCGAAGGACCAGCACATGGGCTGTTGCTGGGAAAAAAAAGAGAGACCACTGACTAGGAAGACCACCTTGGAAGACGGGATGAGTTTAGCTTCAGGGCTGAAGTTCGGATTTGGTTCTAGAGCTAACATTGGCTGTGTGTGGTCATGCCAACATCTAGGTGCTGGCAACAGCCACGAGAGCTCAGAAAGGGAACCACGGTGGCAGCGTGGGCTGCAGATGGGCACAGGGCTCAGAAGTTTGTATCAGAGGATGGGGTGCCGTGAGACTTGGCATCATGGGGCCCTTCCCACGTCACCATGACTTCTGGGGTGCAGGTGGCCAGTAGCGCAGCCAAAGAATGTAGAAATAGGACAGCAACGTGGAGCCCACAGGCTGCTGTTGGAAGCTCTCTTTGACCTTGCGAGATTTGGGTGGGACAATCGCGAAGCAGAAACTAGAAGCTCAGCGTGTTCGTCAGCTGCTAGGCTAGGTTGCCTGGCGCAGCTCCTTATTTCTACTAATGTGGATGGTTAAGAGCTGACGTACAGTAGCTTGCCCAGTGTCAGCTTTCTGGTTTCGACAATATGCTGGAGTTATGTAAGACACTGACCTTGGCGGAATCCAGGTGAAAGGGACCTAGGAACTCGGTACTATTTTTGTGCTTCTTGTGAGTCAAAATATTCCAAAATAAAATATTTTTTAAAAACCACTCAATATGACAGACAAGGCATTTCCAAGGACCCATGGCCAGCGCCACTTGTGGCTTCCATTGTCTGCCACTTGGACGGACCCTTATGAGTCTCCTCATAGGACAGCGGCTGTCCTTCTCTCTCAGCCCTGAACTGCCTGCCTGCTTCTTCCTGGGCCTGGCTAGAGGGGCAAGGGCTGTGGGGACAGCCAGCTAGGCTCTAAGGCGCCTCCTCTGGAAGAGGGTGTCTCAGGGCTGGGGGCCTTGGCCCCTACCATGCACAAAGCCGGGCCCAAGCCGCTAACCAGGTGTCTTGCCTTCTCTTCCGCTTTCAGGACGCTTCCATTGCACATAGATTCCACATGATGCGAGAGAAACACCCTGAAAAATTCAACAGCAGGTAAGAGGGCTGCGCCCCGGCTGCCCTGCGCCTCGCCCGCGCGCCCGCCCTGCGCAGCCAGCGGGACCGCGGCCTCCCACCTGTTCCCGCGGAAAGGTTCTTGGCCGGGCCGCCCTGGGACTTTGCTTTCCTGCCACGTTGCCGGAAGGACGGTTTCCATTTCCAAGCAGGGGGGTAAAAGTGTCAGAATCGCGGCCCGGCCCGGCAGCCCGCGCCCTGGCCGAGCGTCTGTGCAGAGGGAGGGGACAGGTGGAGGGGCTTGGGGCGCCGGCCCGGGAGAGGCGGGTTCCAGCCCGACGCGCAGACTCCAGGGCCCTCGCCCCGCGGTGCAGGGTGCAGGAGGCTCGGCTTTCCTGGCCTCTAACGGAAAGAGGTGGCAGCCCTGGGGCCAGGACCAGGGGGACCGCAGAGACGTCGCGTCTGCGCTGCCTGACAGCAGGGGGCAGCAACGGAGAGGCCTCCGCGTCCAGCCTTAGCCTGGATAACGATGATAAAGAGAAAAGCAGGTTGTTTTCAAACCAGACTCTTCCTGAATGCAGGAGAGAATTTGGCAAAACTAGATTGTGACCAGGATTATCAAATTGCCCATCTCCCGTCTTTCTTTTTCTTCACACTGGCCAATGTCTAGCCTTTCTCTTTCTTCTTTTGTTATACGGTCTCTTGATGACCCCTGGAGCCCAACTCCAACCTCAGACAGAAACTAAATAGAACTCGGACTTGCCCCTCAGACCTGAATGGATTGACTGTCTGTTGGCCCACAGTATTCTCTTTAAAAGCAGGAATTAGGGGCCGGGGAGATAGCTCAGTAGAATAAGCTCTTGCCTGGTAAGCGCAGGGTCCTGAGTTCAATCCCCGGTACCACTAGACAGATAGATAGATGATAGATAGATAGATAGATAGATGATAGATAGATAGATAGATAGAGGAAATTAGAGTGTCACACAAAGGCATTCATTGAGTGCCCAGCACCGTGAAAGAGCTGACCACTTTCATTCTTACTCTGCCCCACCCCACTGTCTGGGATGGTAGCTAAGAAAGACTCAGAAATGGAACATAATGAAGCTACTTTGGCCTCAGGACGAGTGATCTGTGGGATTTAGTAGCAGCTAACCCAAGTGCATATGAGGTTACAGCATATTCTTTTTTGCCTTCACACACACACACACACACACACACACACACACACAGACACAGAGAACCTACACACTCACTATATAGAACTAGCCTGTGTACTTCTAGCCCATATTACTATAATCACGAACTTGATAATACTATTGATTTTCTGGGGGGGGGGGTTACTCCCATATGTGAACACAGTCATTTTAAAAATTCTCTTGTACCCATTCCCCAGCTTTTTAAGGGCCTCTGCTCATACAGACACCCTTACACAATTCATCCCCATGTGCCTCTTAAGATACCATATGCTTTTGAAATCCGTGAGTCCATTCATTCATTCATTCCGTGGTATCTTTTGAAAACCTACATACCAGATGCTATTCTGCAGGCATCTGGGGCAGGCCTGTGGAGGGCCTCCTAGCCCCCTGTGTAAGAGTCAGTGATGTTGGGCCGGCGAGACAGCTCAGTGGACTAAGCACCTGCTTTGGCAAGCACAGGGACCAGGGTTCAATCTGGGGCCCAATGAGCCAGCCGTTGAGTCTGGGCATGGTGGCGCACATCCGTAATCCCAGTGCTGGGGAGGCTGTTAGACAGGAAGATCATTACGAGTCTGAGCTGCACAGAGCAACCCTGTATCAAATACATAAATGGTGAAAAGAAAAAAAACAAAAAACAGTCCGTGAGGTGGATAAAGGCATCCCACGGGACTGCAACAGCATGGAACTTAGTGTGGAGGGTTTTTCCAATGACAGAGAAGCGCTCAACCAAGACACAGAAAACAAAAACATGTTTTCCAGGTTGACAAATACAAAAGGGCAACCCAGGCAGAGGAAGCCAAATGCTGTGTCTTAAAAGACACACAAAGTGGAAGTACAGCACACGTGAGACTAAGTAAGCTGCCAACATGGTAGCGCATGATCTTGTACCAGGAGAGAGGAGCGAACCTTGGTAGCTCGTAGTGAGTAAAGAAGCACAGAGGAAATTCCTCTATATTCCGAAAGCAGTGGACGGGCCAGTATGGGACACAAATAGAGAAGTCATCAGTGATCGATCATCCACATGACTAAGTACAATTAGGAAAAGCATCTGTGTGAAGATCGTAGCGTACATTTCCGGACAAAGTCAGGCAAACTGCATGTGGTCTGTGTGATTGTCTTCTCCTCTTCTGCCCAGATCCCATGTACAGAACTGCGTTAGGGGCCTAGGTTTGTGTAGATGGGAACCTCTCTTTTTACCTCACTGAGGTCAACATGACTTGGTAACCCCAGGTGACATTTCCTGCCTGACAAACAAAGACATCTAGAGGTAGACCATTTACAAGGTCATAAAGCCCCTCCTATTCAGAACTTTGGGTCTCTGCGCTGCTATTCTGCCTGCTTGCAAAACACCCAGGAGTGTTCCGCTGGTCCGCTGCGAGGCGGGCACACAGCCGTTTTCTCCGGGCTTCCTTATTTAGCATTGGAGATAGTTTTAAATAGGCAGGTGGTTGTTGCCATGGTTACCCCCATTACACCAGTGGCTAAACTTAGGAAGGGCCACAGGGATAGGAAGACAGCCTGATACCCCGGATTTGGAAATGTAAACGATAGCATCAAACAAGCCTTCCTCTTAGCTGAGGGAACACAGGTTTTCCAGCGAGTAGTCCCTGCTTGGCTGGAAGCCTCACCGTCACTGCTTGGGAGTGGGCCCGCAGGGATCACCAGAGGTTAAAGATAGAGAGTAGTTTTTGTTTTGTTTTGTGTGTGTTGTTTTGTTTTGCTTTGTATTGTTTTGTTTTCAATGAAAGAATGTGAGTAATCAGGGCCAGAAGTTACTAGGAAACTTGACTCTTTCAAGTTTCTGGGCTATTCTAATAAGAATTCTTAACTCCAGGGTCCAAGGGCTTCAGGTGGGGCTGAGAACACCTTGGAACAGGACGTTACAAGGATATCCACAGCTGTCGTGAGGTCCTTAAAGGGACTCCCCAAACCCCCAGGTAGTTAAAAGTCACAGTTCTGAGACCTCTCTGTATCCTAAGAGGCCTCAAATCATGACTCCGCTGTGGGGTTCCAGGATACTCTTCCCCCAGTGACTTCTCTGTACAAACTATTGCCATGGAAAATGGTTAGTTGCACAAAATAAGTTATTTTCTTGGCAGAATAGCTTTATTTTTATTATATTTTATTAGTGCATGTTAATATTTCATGACCATGAGGTTATGTGGGAAGTTGGTACAATCATTTCCCATATCTTGATCAAAGGTAATCCCACCACCACTCTTCTCCCTGTCCTCCTCACTCCTCCTTGTCCCTTTTGCTGTGTCCAGTAATGGAGCTTCTTGTTTCTTATCCTCTCTCCTTTAAAAAAAATATTCTAGGTTTTATCCTATAAGAGAAAACAGGTGATATTTCATTTTCTGGGTCTGGCTAATTTCACTTAACCTGATGACTTCTAGTTCCATCCATTTTCCAGAAAGTGACATAATTTCATTCTTCTTTTTGGCTCACTAATATTCCATTGTGTATCTATACCATGTTTTTATCTGTTCACTTGTTGGAGACATATAACTTGTTTCCATAACATAGCTATTGTGAACTACAGTGCTAAAACTATGGGTATGTGCATATCGTTACAGCCCATAGTTCTTAATGCTTTTGCAATATGCTTATGATGGAATAGTGGGATCAAATAGTATTTGTACGTTTTCTCTTTTGAGGATTTTCCATACTTGCTGCCATCGTGGTTACACTACTTTCCATTCCCGCTAACGAACCATGTAAAAGGGGAACTTGTCCCTCCTGTCCCCACCAGCATTCACTGTTTTTTTTTTATTTCTTCAGAGCACCTGAAGGAGTGAGATGGATTCTTTTTTTTTTTTTTTTTTTGTGGCTGACTCAACCCACCCTGGGGGCATGGCTGGCATGGTATGTGGTGCCAGGGATCACCCTGCAGTCCCCGTGCACTTGCCTAAGCTTGACTAAGCAGGCACTTTTGACTGCTGAACTATCTCACTGGCCCATGAGACGGATTCTTAATGTAGTTTTAATATGCAGCTCTCTGGTGGCCAGAGATATTGATGATTTTTTTCATATAATTTTGGTCATGGAATAGTCCTCTTAATGGAATAGGAAACAACCCAAGAAGATGGCAACCTGAGCCACATGTGGCGCAGGCTATGTTGGGTCCCTTCTACTTCCTAATCATTGGTAGGCTAATTATTAATTCCTAATTAAGGAATGTTGTGAAGGTCATCATCTCATTGTCAGCATAATGACAGAAGACAGATTTAATTCAACTGAGCTTCAACCATGTGTTAGAAAGTGTCCGAGGATAAGCAATAAGAATGGTCTCTGGGGCCAGCCAGATAGCTCAGCAGACTAAAGCGTCTGCTCAAGCAGAGCGTGGTGGCCAGGTTCATCCCTGGCGTGCCGTGCCAGCCCCACCCCCAGGGCACGCTGAGATGGTGATTGAGACCAGGTATGGTAGCACCAGCCTATAGTCTCAGCGCTTGGAAGGCTGAAAACAGGAGAATCAGTATGAGTCCTATCTACATAGTGAGTCCCTGTAAACCCTATACTACATACATTAAAAAAATGGTCTCTGTCTTCAAAACACATAATCTTACCTAAAAAGAAATTAAATCTTTTTTTTTAAAATTGCTTCAACATACAAAACAGTCACATTTAATAGGCCATAGAGCTCCCAGAAATTTATATAACATAGAAGAACGTTCACATGGTCATATCTCAGATACCATTCATAAATGGATTGTAGAAATAGTGATAAAAGGGAAACAAACTAAGAATTATTATCCATTTGTTTCATCTCCTACTAGATAGATGCCAGGTGGTGAACTAGGGTTCTAAAATATACTAAATTATTAAAATCCCAAAACAATTTTTATG